GAGTGGTCGCACACACAGAACGAATACATTGCCACATAGGAACCCAGCAGGAGGCAACGAAACTAGAAGGATACAAAAGATAATGTACACAAAGAGCCTTGGGGGTACGAGGGAGAACATCACACAGATGAAGCCGATCGCTGGGGGGAGACTGTAGGTATTAAGGCCGCATGATATGGTGCTTTGGCACCGACAGAGCCGCGATACGAGGACACGAATTAGATGTTTCTAGGAACAACAGATGAGAATTCAAGGAACGAGAAAGAGCAGGCGGAAGATTGCACATTCTCCAACAGAAAGCATGCAAATTTGGTTGGAAATAGCAAACGAAGTTCAAAACGGGAAACCCGGGGACAGCTGGCCTTGTTTCAACAACCAGGCGAAGTGGGGCGTCCACCAGATGGACGTGTCGGCTGTTCGCCGGATCCTGTTAGCCGGGCATAGCTGCAGATAAAAAGCGGCCACAACCGTGTAGGATTCAACCAATCAATCAATCAATCACTACGGCCTCACTTCAACAAAGCTACAACGGGCTCGTTACTAACAGTCCTGTAACGATGACGCCGCGGCTCAGTCTCTCATAACCAGATCGATGCTATGATCAAGAGCGGCTTGTCGACTGACGAGATAGGCAAAACCGTCGGCTGCTGCGACCACACTGCCCAGAGAAAATGATCGAACCAACGATGCCTCCCCACGACGAAAGCGCCTCCAACCCCGTCGAATCCCCTTACCCGTGTCGGCCGAGGCAGTAACATTACACCTTATATGCAAGAGATCCTACGTAGTCAGCTCCTGGAGGAGCCGGATATGTTTCGATGTGAGATAATTACCTTCCTCTACGAGAGAACTGGAGTAGAGGTATCGCTTTCCGCAATTAGTCGGACCTTAAAGGATATGGGCTGGTCCAGGAAAACTTGTCGTTAAATTTGGGGTATCCCTTCGATAGATTTCGTGCGGCTCGGTCCGAGACAGATACGACGACGCTAGTCTCTTCGGGTTCGTAGAGTTTACCCTTTGGTGTGTTCTGTTTGAGGTGATCCTCGACCATTTGCTTCAAAGACTTGTTCCAGAACGCACCAGGCGCCAGCACAAGATCTTGCTCAAGTTCTGGGCTATACGTGAGCTTCGTCCGTCTTTCTCCTTTCTTCAAAAGCAATTTCCATTCAGAGTGAATGCAAGTAGGCGGGAATTCATCATATGCCGGATCTTCATCCCAGTCGCTTGACTGGAGCAATGGCAAGGCCGCACCATGATTTCGCTACTGACTCTGGCTGGCTGGACTTGTGCTGCGGCTGTCCAACCGGGGGGTTCGAAAATCAAGCACTACGCCTTGCGTCTATAATGCCCTTTGGATCCCAACATATAAACTGGTCAGTCGAGCAGTTTATATTAGCAGATGACAACCACAGTCGTCGCATCACGGTTCGAACAGAGTTGCGCCGGGCACTAAGGCTGCGGTAGAGCTGCTCTATCCAGCGTACCGCTCGCATGAATCCATTCTAAGTTCCATCCGCTACCGCCAGCACCATAAGCGCGCGATCAACTCCAAGTCTCAACCTTCAGCGATCTACAGGCACGGCGCACAACTTACAACGGACGGAGACAATAAGTATTGGCTCTGCAAGTACTGCCATATTAGTGGTCATCACGATGCTGCGCTGTTTGCCAGTGAGAGCACGACCAGCATCATCTACCACCTGAAACAGCAACATAGACTGGAGGAATTTGGTTATAAATCAATAGGGCCCGATCCATTTAGCATAGCCAAGAGGGCAGCAGGCCTCACGAGGTACCTCGGAAGCCGACGCGTGGTGTTCAGCGACCTGAAATTCAAGGATGATTTTACGGACTGGGTGATTGACCTTGATCTCACATTTCCCGTCAACTCTTGGCAGTTGGGTCAAAGAGAAGTGGGTTGGCGATGCTGGGAGGCGCTTTTGGCTAAGGGCAAGGCTCCATTCCTCCAAAAGCAAGGTCCATATTTCGACGGATGCGTGGACATCTGAAGAGGGGACAAGCTATCTTGCCATTGTTGCTCACTTCCTGGATGAGAACCACAAGTTACAAACGGCTCTTCTAGACCTCCCCCCTCTGAAGGGTCCTCATTCCGGCGAGAACATTGCCAAGGTCTTGTCGACCGTCATCACTTTTTATGACGTCTCCCCAACCATTGGCTTCTTCATGATGGACAATGCAGCAAATAACGACACGTGCATTCAGGAGCTGGCGAAACAGTACCCGACGATCAAACGTGAGAGTCGCCTTCGTTGCGTGGGTCATATGCTGAATATCATCGTCAAAGCTCTGCTCTTTGGGCAGGGTGTTAGCAAGCTGGAACAACAGCTGCGTGGTGCCTCCGATGACGAGCGGTTGAGATATGGAGGAAGCATAGCTGTATTGGCAAGCTCCATAACTTCTGCATATTGTAACGGGTCAGGCCCACTTGGCTGGCGGCTCTGCCGCCAAGCCTGAATTCTTCTCCACAGCGCCATCGAGTTGATTCTCGAATCTTCTATATTAAAGAAGATATAACGCGTCTTCACGCACCCAGTTTGTATTTACATTCTTTCCTTTCTTCATCTTGAAAGTAAACAGCATAGGGACTAGTTAGTTGAATCAACTCGCTAGAAGCCTTTCACACATATGGATTAACAGAAGCGACCAGCGACGGGAGCGGCTGAAACAGTACATCCTGCAGGCTTACGAGGAAGGCGGCATCGAACACCTCTACACAAGGGTCCTGGTTGATGGTGGTATCCGCTGGAATTCTGTATATTCCATAATTAAAAGAGCTTTGAAACTCCGCCACGCCAATGCACTACCCACTTCTATCCACAACCACCTCAACAGTGATAGAATAGATGACTTACTAAGCCGACCTGACGTTGAATTGATAGAAATAGACCCTACCTATCAACGTAGATGCCATCTACGGTGATACAGAACGCCTCAAACGCCACAGCGGATCAAGGATATCCCGCCAGCATCAGCCTCACAATCCCTCAACGCCATCATCAGACCATCCACCCCCATTCCCCTCATCAACCTGCTGGCCTAGTTCATCCTCAAGCGCCTCGATCTCTGTACTCCTAAGGGTGAATGGTGGCTGCTGATCTGCTAGTGTGCCAGCAGGATATATGTGTCTATCCACGTTGAGTGCCTCGCCGGCTCGGGTCAATTATGGCGCCGGGATAATAACAATATCACGAAGGCAGCGGAAATAGCAGATGTGAAGTGGAATTGGGCCGCTTGGGGCATTGGTGGCTGATCCAGGCGCTGATCTAGCGGCGGAAATTGCTGGCGTTTTTGAGGTTCCGGTACCTCACGTCTCTGTCAGATTACTAAGAATTTGATGTAAATATACATCAATGATTTCTTGGCAATCTACCCACTTGAATCTATGTTGATGAGGCCGTGATAGAAAGGATAGAAGCTTGGCAGCAGGCAGGGTAGAATGGGTAGTAAGCACAGCTTTCTATCAATAGTAGATGGCGCGTCTACTTTTGGTGGATAGATGCAGACCCCTGGCCATTAATCTGTTCTTTCTCAACTATAGCCCAGTCGGTGCTGAAGGATACGACATTTCACAGGATCTCCTGACTCCACAGGATTGGATCGATCTGGAACACTTCCTCGGCATCCTCAAGCCTTTCAAATATCTAACAAAACGTATGGAGGGCTGAGCGAATAAGGCTGGTTCGGAGGGATCATATGGCTCACTACACGAGACTATCGAGTCGCTAGATGTACTCTTCAAGAAGCTTCAGGAGGCTGGGAGATTCGCAGATGATCACCCTAACGTGGTGTCAACATACTATTCTCACGCTATTGATGCTGCTCGCCTCAAGCTGGAACAGTATTTTGGACTTACAGATGCGACTCCTGCGTACCGATGTGCAGTGGCCTTGCATTCAGCGAATAAGTTTACATACTTTGAGCTTGAATGGAGTCACAACAAGCAATGGATAAGTGCAGCAAAGAGAGTGGTGCAGGAGGTGTTCGCACAGTACGAGGCAGCAGCGGCAGAAGCTGATCCAGTAGACCGAGCACGACAGGAGAAGGAGCTGGAGGAGATGGATGAAGAGGTTCTTGTGAACTGCAATATGACACTTGATCCACTCCAACAAGCTCGTAAGCGGCGTTGGAGGCTTGCTGCTGCTGTGGGTTCAGGTACACGAACAAAGAAGCGGGCAAGACTGACGTCTGAGCTGGATAAGTTTATAGCCAGGACAAATAAGGCAGACCTAGACGTTGAGGATCCTCTGGAATGGTGGGTTCGTCATGTATGTGACTACCCTGTGCTGTCCAGGATGGCCTTTGACTTGTTCAGCTGTCCAGCAATGAGCGCTGAGTGTGAGCGTGTCTTTTTACAGACGAAGAAGGTGATTACGGATGAACGGAATCGGCTCAGTTCGGACACTATAGCAGCGATTAAATGCCAGAAGCACCTACTTTAAAGCGGCATGTTAACGTAGATCTACCACCAGGAGTAGAAAGAGAAAAACGAATATAGTCGGTAATCAGTCGAGTAATGTCAACCAACCAAGTAAAGTAAGGCACTTTCGTCGAGTAAACCAAGTCAAGCAAGGGGGTACTGTCAACCAAGCAAAGTAAGGGGTCCAATTTTTGCTCCACTTGGTTGTTGGACACACTGGATGAGGTAGATATGATGGGATACCTACCAATGAATGCCTAGCAACATAGAAATGGTATCTTTGTCATAAATACAACGTCCCTACTACTGGCATTATGATGTAATTGAGTATGCGTCTTGCCCCTTGCTTGCCTTGGGACGCACTATCTGTGGCCTGTGCAATGACTCACGAGCAGTATCACTAATGCGTCATGCGCGCATCACATTGTTGTAACTTGTACCAACCCCAACTTGATGAAACGGCTGGAATAGCTATTTTCTCCCCCCGCCCGTATTTTGCATCCAGCAGATCAGACATTGAATACGCGAATGAACACATCAAACTTACAACGACATTGCGAAAATGGGCATTTCTGATTTCTTCCACGCTGTTTTGAACCACCTCCTCTCTTGGATCCATCTCGTTAGTACAGAAAAGTTTGAACCATTGCGACTCACGGCTTAACATTTGGAAAGGCTGAAAACCGAGAGTATGGCTGGAAAACCGTTGATCGCACGGTGAGCAGGCTTGAAATTCAGCGGTGGCCACCAGCTAATACGTACATCAGACCGGGCGGCTCACGCGCGAGCAACAGCCCCTCCTGAAGAAGTTAAAATTGCTTCTACTGTTTAACCCGGTGACAGAATGGCTGGACACAACGCACCTCATGCGACGGTACATACACAACAAGTCAGTGAGAGAAGGTAATGTCACTACCAGGTTCGTGAATGCTGCGGCGTGACAGCTGCTGATGGTACATACAGGCAGAACTGAAGTCACACTTGCTTCGCGGAATAAGATCCAGCGCTTCGTCGGGACCTACAACATCAGCATGGACGACTTCACTCCGTCTGACATCTCTCAGTACTCTACTTTTGAGGACTTCTTTATCAGACACCACGCTCCAGGCTCTCGGCCAATATACAAGCCAGACGAACCTTCGTCAGCTGTGGTGGTAGCGGATAGCCGCGTTGTGGTTTACGAGACAGTCTCGGAGACAAAGCAGCTCTGGATCAAAGGACACAATTTTAGTATTGCCAGCCTGGTGATGGATACTGCTCTCGGTTCGCAGTTCCGAGATGGCGCCATTGCGTCTTTTCGCCTCTCCCCGCAGGATTATCATCGGTATCATTCACCGGTCACTGGGAGGATAAAATTGTTCCGCAGTGTCCCGGGGGACTATTACCAGGTCGACCCTGTCGCACTGAACAGTGATGTGGACATACTCACACGCAACGCGAGAGGCTATCTTGTCATCGAAACCGAATCTTTTCACGACGTCTTGTTTGTTGCGATTGGGGCCACCAACGTGGGAACTGTCGAGTGAGTTTTGTTTCTGGTCACTCCCATACATCTTCACTAGCACAAACCTGCTTGGCCGGCACTAATCATCTTCCATCAGCTTTCAAAAGAAATGGCAGGAGCCTGGAGCAGAAGTAAAAAAGGGAGATGAGCTCGGCCTCTTCCAGTTTGGCGGCTCGTCAATCATTGTGGCTTTCCAGAAGGGACGTGTGGAGTTTGACGAAGACCTTGGGGATCTCAGTCGGCAGCGAATCCAGGTATCGGTCCACGTGGGTATGAGTTTGGGCTCGGCCAAACCATAGGCGACGTAGGAGCACTGAGCTTATCTGTCAGTTGTTTTAGTATTTACTATGGATAAATTGCAACACTTTCTTTACGCAATAGTCCAGCACCGTGCGCTTAACTCTTCATCAAAGAAATGCGGGCCCTTCAATGATGCGCTTGGCTACTGATCACACTCAATACAGTCATTAATCGCGTATGCGGCTTTTTCTTTTGGTCGAGAGCGAAGTAGATTGCAAATCGAGGTTCTTGAGCGATCATAAATTCATCCTACCATCTACTCAGTGTAGATTTACTCCTTCGTCACATGTTTAAGCGTGCCGGGATTATGTGCAACACGATGGCCAAGTTGGTCGGTGAAGAGGACCTAGCAGTAGTCAGTTTAGAGCTCCTCAACTACGTCGAAGGTTGGATTCCAGGCACCTTTGGTGGGTTCTTGACATCTGCCTCTTTTGCCTCTCCCTCGGTCATCACGACTCTTTCAACGTCACCCTCACGCTTTCCGCCGCGAAAAGGTGTCCGTACTTCATCCCCTCCTTAATAGGTTGCGACTTCTTATCTTTGACCTCGGTCGGCATGTTGAATTCTTCGATAAACCGACCTGCGTACGAATGGAAGGGGGAGATTGAGGCTGGGAGAGATATTGGAGACGTTGCAAAGAAAAGATTGAACCGAGTGACGACGATTTGCCATCATGTTTTATGTGCCTGACGTCATAATTACGTTGAGACCAAGTCTTGTAGTAAATCAAGAGAGGGTGCAAACCAGCCTAGTCTGCCATCTCCTCAAGAACTGAGAACACACGTAATCCGCGATAATGAAGAGAGCAAGAGGCTTGAGCGGTTTTCCTTTACACTTGGCATGAGGACAAAGCAGAACCCGTTTTCTGGGGAGCTGGCGGCAATGGCGTACGCATTGAGGCGCTTGCCTGACCTGAGATATCAGGTCACATGTCAGGCCTAGTAATTATTACGACTTTGAAGCTGGAAGTCATCTATTCAAACTCCAGAACAGCCTGGAAGCCACTGTCACAGCTGCAGCTAAAACGCGCTGACTGGTGGTGTAAGTCAGACCGGCGCGCTCACCTTGCTTCAAGTCAGTGGCTTGCACACAGATATGCTCTTCATCGCCAGCTTCAGCGGCTAGGAATAGCTGAGGGAAGATGGCAAGGAACAGTAGCTTGGCCAAGAGACTACGACCCCGAAGTGGTTCAAGAAGCTGTCAACTTCATCACTTCTGATGCACAGCAACAGGCTGTTGGAAAGCAACTGTTGACTTTGGAAGCTGATGGAATTGAGGTTATCTCTGAGGATGTCATCTATGTTAGTCAGGGCGAATTTCTGATCCCAAAAGACGAAATAGATGACTAGAAATGATGAATTTGGTGTTGTGGTCGGTCACTTACACACCACCCCGACTTTCTGTTTGGAACATACTTGATGCAACTTACCGCTTAGTTGGATCGCCTTGGGGCTTGCCCCACACATGATCCAACGGGTACCCCATGCAATCGCTATAATGAAGGTACATTGCTCACACCAAAATTTTGGTGTAGATTGAGGTACCTAGATTTGTTAAGTCGCTAGCCTTTTGTCTAGTCGCTCGCCCCCCCGTGAGGGACGAACGGGGGGTTGAGCTGAAGTGAAATGACGAGACCCCCCTAGTACTGAGGTCTTGAAGATCTAGGCGAGAAATCTCAACTGTGTCGCCGGATGCCATCGTTTGAACACGTACAATCAGATGGCTGGAGAGAAGTGACAGTAATTATTGCCAGGCTTTAATCTCGAGGGAGACGAGAAAATAGGGCTCCGAGAGATGATGAGGGGAATTCGTCATCCTAGTGAGAATCTTTCAATTCCCTTGGTTACATCGACAAAAGCAGTGCGCCAAACTCTAGCCATTCACACTTCTGCTCGATGCATACTTGCATTTGCCGAGACTTGCCCACGCAGACACGAATCTCCATTTTCATAGAGCGGGTGATGAGGCAATTGGGTAGCGTTGCGCAGCTTATGCAACAATGACGTCGAACGTATATTGTGTGACCGGCCGACTTCCGTGAGGGTGTACACCCGCTTCGAGTGACGTATGCTCACAAATGCCGGGGGTTCAAAGCGTTGATACAAGCAGTCATAGGTGGCCACGTCGTGAAAAGCGCAGACATGCATCTAGTCGCCACGTTGAATGGAATGCACGCATAAAAAGCGGTAATGCGATATCTAATCGTTAGCATAGGTATAACGGCCCGAACCAAACTAACTGTTTGGCCACGGAGCATCTGCGTGTGCAGATCTGCCCGCATGCTTGACGAGAAATTATCGGGAATCAAGCGTCGTGCTGGTGGCGGTCATTGCAAGACTCTTATTAGCGACACCACGGCCCCGAGCTAAGACACTGTAACTTCCGGATCAAGAAGAAGGGATTCGTACGGGAAAGCTACAATCCGACATGCTATTTCTGGACGCTGTGTTTATCACGGTGATGAATACTACTTCCACGTCCGTCGCTGCCTCATGAAAGCTTAATGTGAGACGCCGAACTTATATCTAGCCTACCCCGCACGTCAATGCTTTAGAATTAAATGCCGTGCCACATTAACGGTCTCCGGTTGTCCGCTATTGTGATGCTGTAAGTACAGTATTCGCGATCTACGCAGCTATATTCACAAAGCTGCAAGTTTACGACAAGTCCAAGATGGAAACAGCAATACAAGCATTAACAACAGCTAGGGTTCAGTGGTGGGACGATCACAACCTATACGTTCTGTGCCCGTCGTGTGACGAGATACATCATCATGGCTTCGATGGAAACTACAAGCGACGCCATTTCCGTGTCGCTCATTTCGACGCTATTCGCAACGGCAGATTCCGCTCTCTGAGCTACGAAATCAAATTTCCAATAGGCGCGCATCCTGGGAACGCTGCCTACGAGATCGACAAGACGAATATGAGATTTGTTGCAGGTGGAGCTCGTGTGCCCCAGGACGAAGTTCTATCAGATGATGAAGCAGACCGATTGAGGGCTGCCTTCAAGGAGCGAGTCGAAGCTAAGCGGAAGTGGACGGACGCAGTCGAGACCGAGCTCATATGTGATGATTTTTCGTTGAGAAAGATAGTCAATGCGACGAGCCAGATGGTGCAGGGCAAGCTCCCATATATTCGAGAGTACCTCGAGACCTCCCAGGAAGCGGAAATATTTCTTCACGGGATCGAATCATGGGAGATATCTCAGCATTACTCGTCTGAAGAAGATGATGAAGACGGCGAGGAGGCAAGCGCGGAAGATAACACCGTTAAGACGTCGGGGACGACTGCGCTGCACATGGCTGCATGCGAGGCATATCCCCAGATGGTTAAACTCCTTCTCTCGAAAGGCGCCGATGCAAATGCTGCAGACGTGGAGGGTCGAACTGCGCTCATGGAGGCGGCGTTGTGGGGCCGGCTGGAAAATGTGGAGGTCTTGTTGGGGTACGGAGCTGACAAGTCTCTGACATGCGTCGAAGGTAACCGGCTTCTGCGAGCTGTTGATTTTGCGAACCCACTGGGGAAGAATGCGCAATCACGAAGAGCACGCGCAGGTGGCGGTTCGAACTCTGAGCCCATCTATAAGGAAGATACGTACGCGAGGGACAGGGACCGCAGAGACATTGTCCGCCTCCTCAACGATGCGGCAGATGAGCCAAGCTTTCCCCAGCTAGACGGATTCGCTTTCTGGCGGCCCCTAGGTGATGATACTGCGCTTTCTCTGACGACTCAATACGGCCTGCCCTCCTTAAGGAAGACGGTTGCTCGCATGTCTCGCGACGGAGGGCTTCCAGAAGTCTCTGCGATGAGCGGCTGGTCGCACCTGCAAAGCGAAAGCTTCCAGGTCGCTGGAAGAGACTGGACGGACGAGGTTCTTCGCCTTTGCAGAGTGGTTGGGTTTGCCCCAGCACCGCATCAATATGATCAGGGGTTATCAGGGCGATTTAACGCGTACCACGCGGAAAAGCAGCTGATCGCGTACTTTGTCCACAAGCACCTAGTCTTGCCGCATGAGTTGGACATTGTTGAAGAGTCGGACGATGACCTTGAAGAAGTGTTCGGGTTACTAAACATAGGGGAGTTAACAGATGAAGCGCTTGATCGGCGTCAGAGAGAGCAGGCACAGAGGAGAGAGGAGCGGGCCTACAAGATGAGGCTTGAGGAGCCGTGGAAGGCACGTCCCGATAACTCCTTGGAGAGGGCCGCCATAATAGTCAGTAAACCGGTATGCAACGACTACAGGAGGTTTGTCGCCCAAGTGAACAGTGCGTTGGGGTTAGCAATACTAATACGCCATAACTGCTTGGATCCTTCGTGCGGTGTGTGCCCGGGATGAGATCGGCAGAATTAACGAGGGGGCTTTTCTCTACACTTCGCGCTATTTACGGTGAAACAATATACACAGAATGGAACGATCAGTTCCTCGCCGTTGCACAATTCAGCTGTCATATAGGCACAATTAATGAGCCATACATTTACAAGCCGAGTGACTGATTATTATCTTAGTTAAGACGGACTGTCCATTCAAGTTCAAAGCGGAACGACCATAGGCTAGGTGGTTAAATCAGGCATCGCGGCTCACGTAGGATTTTTACCGCCCTCAACCCCTTGTCGCCTGCAAGGATGCTGTCGCCGTCAAAACTCCATCGAATTGGCCGCAGATGCTGACAGGGATAGTGTAGCCATCAAGACACAGGGCTGGTTCGCGTATTTCATATCGAAATATGGAGGTTAGGGTTCCCGCGTGAGTTCAGAGTACAAAAGTGGTTGGAAAAGGACAACAAAAATCATATACAGATTTAAAGAGAATTATTTTAAGACTATGCAAGGTTTCCCGAGTATGACATCTATTTTATAGAATTAGTTAACGTACTTCATAAGCGAGCTGGCCGGATAAGCGAGCTGACCACCTGACCACACCTTCACTAACAGATATTAAGATAAAACAACCACAACGCTTAGAATCAATTGAAATTAATCACTATCCTCTTTTTCAGACGCATCTACGTCAATTTCACAAGTACGGGCATTATGCCCGGGTTTCCTGCATCTACCACATTGCCGTTCCCTCGTCTCCGTCCGCCTCCGCCGACCACCACTTTGACGTATTTCCTGCTCTACCTGCTCAGCAATTTCCCTCTAATCTTGTAGCTCCTGTCCCTCAGCTACTGTCATACTCCCTGAATGTCGGAGTCGTGTTTTTTTTGCTCTGCGCCGCCGGCTAAGGGTCGCATTGGCCTCCCGAAGATCGTTGACCTCTGCCTTCAATAATGCCATCTGGTGCATTATTCCTCGCGCCCCCTTCGCAAATTGATCCATTGCAGCTAAAATTGATGTCGGAGAGCTACTTTGATGACAGCTGATTCGAGTTTTAATAAAATCAGTCTGTGAAGTAGCTTCAATTGAGTTGTTTGGGGTCTCTGGAACCCAGAGGGTAGGCAGTTCGGAACCCCCCTCCGCAGGCGATGGAGTCCGCAACTTCACATCTAAGAGAGAAAGCACACTTTCCGAATCATAGGGAACAAGTCCTCTACCCCGAAAACCTCCTTGGATGTTTTTTTTTTCAGACATTGCGCTTTGAAATGCAGCTTGAAATGCAGGAAAGAAGTCAACCTTCGTAATATGGATGATTCGCATCTTCATCATATCCTCAATTTGTCGACCGTAGGCCTGCTTGAGCGGTCCAAAGCAGCCAACATCAAGTGGCTGGAGGATATGAGATGAATGTGGCGGCATACAGAGACTAATGATCTTGTCTTTGCAGAATAATTCGAATTCGGTCGAATGGTGGCTCTCATGCCCATCCAAGACAAGGAGACGGTATGAGCCAGAAGAACACGTCTTTGAGGAGGAAGATGTGTCTGTGAGCAAGTTTTGTATCGAGCTTTTCATAGTATTGCTCCCCAATCTTGAGACCTTGCATCTCCTCATTGAAGACGGAGGTAATTATGAAGGGACCACGTACACGTACTTGCAGCGGCGACTCAACAAACTTGGCTCGGCCAGCACCCTGAAACATCTGCGCCGGGTTGTGTTTGATACGGACGAGAGTTGGGGTATCTACTTTACGAACCCAGCTATCGGAGTGATGCATCAGATAGCGCCGCACCTGGAAGAACTGACTATTCGACGCAACAAAGGTTTGGAGGACATGCGTATCGGGCAAAGCAAGCTGGGCAAGATGTTTCCCGGAACGATCCAGCCTATCCGCACTCTTCAACTTCCACATTGCGCCCTCTCCAACAACCCTTGGTCCGAGTTCTTCTTGGAGCTGCTAATCAAGCATGCCCCCAGACTAGAACACTTTTATTATCGCTCGCAATCGGCGTTTTTTTGGAGAGGGGTTAGGGACGCACCTCGTGCCCCGAAAGATACTCAAATGCCTTTTACCTACCTCTGCCATGCTTAAGTCCATCGACATTGATCTAACCGATTACTCAATGGACGCTCGCGATGGTCTTATCCAAGGCAGTACCATAGCCAAGTTCACAAAGTTGGAGACTTTGAAGTTGGATGAAACCGCTTTTTGTCGACATTACAGCGATCTAGACGTTCCGGAAGAACCAAACACGAGTGGAAACACATGTTTGGCAGAGATAATCCCAGGCACACTCAAGGTGCTGGCCGTGAGGCTATACGAGGGTTCTCACCTTTGGCCCGACTTGGCAGAACTTGCTGCATGTTCCGCCAGGTTTCCCAACCTCAAGAAACTTACGTGGCATGCAATATGGCGTATGGCTTGCTCGATCGACCAGGAGAAATTCGAAGAGCAAGTTCTCCAGGAGGCTCAGAGACTGCAGGAATTGTTGGCCAAGACGTATATTAAGCTGGAAGTCACCCAGCACATTTGCGCTTAGCTAAATTCTAGAGTAAAAGCAATAAATAAATAGCTTCTAGTTGCTTATAACGTTATTAATTTTGCCCGAATAATATCTGTAATAGCTCTAAAGATAAGGAGTAGGTATCTAGCAGCTAGAGCGTAGATGGCGGCTAGCTATAGAATTAAGCCCTCTGTAAGGCCTACTTCTTTAGCGATATAAGGGAGGGTAGCAATACTAGATCCTATGGTGTTGAGAAAGCTAATTCCAGTTAGGGTCACGATCACAGTCATAGCTCTGACCTCAGAAATCCCAAGAGCTGAAAAGGTTGTCGCCGGTGGTTCTGGAGATTAAGCCTGGACTGAGCCATCGCCCGTAGGATGAGCAGAGGGCCGATGTTGAGTATGAACGGCCGTGGAGTCCCCCTAAGCTACGGCCTTGGGCTCGAATCTGGGTGCTAAGGATTAGACGGGAATAATGGTCGAGTCGGTTGAAGTAGATCTCCCAGCACCTGTGGAAATGCCTCCAAAGTTGCGACCCATGTTGTCTTTTAGAGCGTCTCATAGAGTATACCAAGGGGTTTACTGACCACAGCTGCATGACGTCAGAATCCCTCGCTGTTGCGTTGCTTATCAATCAAAGAATCAACAAAACAAGGCAATGTATTCATCGGATCAAGAAGTAATCTTGTCGCTTGCTAACAGTGAAATTTAACGAAATACCTCGTCAGTTTATGATGCAAATTCCCAAGTTCTTCTTTAGCGTGGTTCCTTTCACCCTCGAAAGTCTGCCAAAACCAATTGGACAGCGATTTTGCTGTTGATCCATTCACGACTGTATTGTGGCTTGATAGAAAATCTCGGTCCACGTACCACTCTCGGAGAATCATGATTATCGTATGTGATGGCTTTTTAAGAAAGCCGTGCCATAAAGGTCCCTTTTTTTTTATTACTTGGCAGTCGACCGGATTTGCTGCAATCAAACACTACAGGATCAATTCCTCGCGCCGTAGCCCTCGTGGGCATCAAACAAGAGACGTTGTCTTTCTTGACCGGCATCCAACTCGGCCTTCTCGTCCACGAATACCCTGCCTCGAATCCTAACAAATATGGTCAGAGTCACGCCAATGATTCCTCCGAGAGCCCCCAACGTAGCGTTGATGGGAGTGGGGTTCCCATGTAGAGGCCCATGGGTAAGGGCATCAAGGCCTGACTGGACGAAATTGACCATTCCAGAGAGACAGACGATGGTCCCGTATATGCGACCGAAGGTAGCAAAGCCAAAAACCTTCGTGGCGTAATCGCTAGCAAGCGCATCGGCAAGGGAATCAGCATCGTGATGGGCACATTTACGAGATTGCAGAGTAGTAGAGGGGACGGAAAAGGACGAATGCCACGACGGTGGCATATCCTGCCCAAAGAAAAGGCAAGCAGTTTAGAGTTCCAATAACGGTGATGAACAGCGTCAAGACTCCAAACGTGGGAGGCACACTCAGGTTATTGAGTAGCAGTCCGATGAAAGGGGTGGAAGCGACACCTCCCAAGGGCAGGGCTACATCAAAGAACTCATTGATCTCCCCAGCTGCAATCTCTGACTCCAACATATATCTGTACTGTGCTCTAATGGATGCAATGAAGTAGTTCATCCGAAGAATCTGAAACACGGTCAACAATAAGATGAGAATGAACCAGGGCGAGAGCATCTGTTGGTGGGCTGGGACACCGTGGAGAACCCCCCAGACACCGCTCGCCTCCTGGCGCTCCTCCTCAATCTTGATGCGCTCTTCTCGGTGCTCGTTACTACCGGCAAGTTCTTCGATCTTCTCAAGCTTAGCTTTGCGTTTATTGGCACGAGCACTCCGCACTCGCATCAACTCTCCCGCGTCCGAGATATCTTCATCCGAGTCGTGGACATCGCGAGTACGGTCTTGGACCTTTTCAATCTTCCTCTTAAGCTCTGGCATGGTGTGGTATGCATGAGATGGCATCAAAAAGATTTCGGCAAAAAATATTAGCACCGGAACGATAAGGTAGCCAAAGAAGAATTTCTCCAGTGAGAACTTGCCACCAGACGCATCGTAAGCCATGCGATAGAAGAGAAAAACGGCTGCGGAGGCATCAAAAGCTCCAGTGATGAGGGCAACCACCAGCCCCGAATGCTTGGGGAACACATTGGCAAGTTGAAAGCTAGGGACAAAGAGGAAAGTCCCCCCAAGAGCTAGGAAGACATTGCCCAGAAGGTAACCATCGAATTCCGGGATGGCGAAGGAAGATCCCATCAGTAGGGGGCCGACGACTAGAAAGACACACGATGCTCTCCAGCATGCGCGTCTCCCGAACCGATCGAGGGCAGTTCCGGCGAAAAGAGATGATATGTTAGTGGTAATTGAGGCAGAGATGAAGAAGAGGTTCAGGCGCATATCTTGCTCGGCGCAGGGAACGTCAAGACTCGACTCATCGTCAAATCCCGTCGTCTCGTCGTTCCGGCAGAGTTCATGATATACACCTTCAGCGATCAAGACTGATTTGAGAGCCGCGAAGCCAAATACGATGCCAGATGCAAGCCAGCAGGCTATTACGGCCGTCGCCGCCTGAGCTGGAAGATTCTTGGTCAGATCTCGACAGCCATTCTCACGATAAAAGCTTGAACGTACCGTATCGCTTGGAATTCGAGACTTTGTATGCCGCGATGTGAGTTTCGTCCTGGGCAATCTCAACTGGCGCAAAGCTCATGTGTCGCCACTCCGATCTGTCGGCGTCTTCTCCAACACCCAAACACTGCTCGTTGGCTGTGCTATCGTTGCCGTTGAGGTTCCCATTACTGCTTGGATTCGCAGGGCATTCGTAGTCAAAGCCGTCAACTTGAGTTACATGCTGAGCGAGCGACATTTGTGACCGCTAGACGAAGGCGAAGCAACGAAACAAAAGCCGACAGATTTGGTGAATGTCGTGACAATGGCGAAGTACAGGAGAAGCGATGTCCGGCAGGCGTATATGTTCTTGTTAGAAGAATGGGTCACGGTGGGAATTGGAGGGTTCGGGGCCCTTTACCCAAAGGATTATGACGTCATGAGGCTTCATCATCATTCTGGTTGCCACCCTTGAATGGAACATTGAAGACCCGTCATCGAAAGTTCATCATGACTGGATGGGGCCAAAATAGGCAAGGGCAATGGCGGAGGCGGGCTGTAAACTGGAGCCTCAGGCACTAATCAGCGGGCGGATAGGAGGGGAACAGGCAAGCTTCTTCGAGAATCTTCCAACTCCACCACAATAACTAGAACTGACTATCTTGATGCTTTCCGTAACCCTGCTTTCGTGTGCTACTTATGTGCCAAGTCAAATCCACTCCGCTGGTTTTCAGTGTGAGAATTGTCGCAGCTACTAAAAGTGTTCTCCACCCTGAGCTAACAACAGAGTTGCGTCGGCAGATTAGTCGTGTTCTTTCTGAACATAGTCGAGTAGCAAGCTGTGCTTGGGCCTTTGCTAGACGACAGCTCTTCTTTTTGGTTCCCTGTCGAGGCGGAAAGCGTCGGGATAAAGTATCGCTAAAGGTCAGATAGATATCCTTGAACATATTTATCCCTACTGTACCAAGGGTAGGTCGACGAAATACAACCAAATTGGTCCGTGCACGCGTCCTTGTCCCTACGAAACCCCGTGCAGTTTGTTACAATATTGGGCCAGATAGGGAATCGCGCATAGAGATGACTGTACACTCCCCAGAAAAAGGGAAACACTTCTCGAAATCTCATTATTTATCTTCTTTATTACTTTTGAAATACCCGGTAGCCGCTTGGCGGAGATTCAGGCCTTTAGCGGATGTCTGGTGTTGCGAACCCCGCTTCAGACGTCATTGTCGTCATGGAAGGCGAACCGGATGTTCCGGGCGGGGGATATCATCGTCCCCTGCGTAAAAGGACCAGAACGACGAGGGCATTGGAATCCGAGCAGCAAAATGGTGATATGGAATGGCAGGAAGATGAGAGCAGTGAGGGAGCTTTGAGTCACACCAGAACTAAGAAAAGGACCAGGCTTAAGGCAGCTGGCAGCATGACAGAGGCAATCCAGGGTCTGAAACGACTCCTAGAACAAGACTTCAATAAGAGAATGGAAGCGATGAAGGCAGAGTTTCAGCTCGAGTTTACAAAACTTAGCGACCGCATGGCTGAAGAAGTCACTAGGACCACGGCCCAGATGGCACAAGAATTATCACAAGTCCGAGAGCAGCTTACCCAGGTTTGCAGCGAGTTGGAGCAGACCCGGCTACAGCTGGACATCGTGAACAATGCTCATGCAGCACGATCGCCTAGTCAGACATATGCGGACGCTGCCAGAATGACACCTGTTAGTATTACCGCTCAAGCTCCGTCCACGGTTCGATCGGCAACCCCGGAGTCGATGTTCTGCACAGTAGACACATCCAGAGTGCCCGATGATCATATCGGAGACACTACACCAGCAGTACTTCGCAGGACCATTGAACAGGAAATGCGAACGTCTAGCGACCAACCTAGTTGGCGATGTGTTGCAGTGACTAGAGATGGACGAAACACCCACCGCCTGAGGGTCATCGGTAGGAACGAAGAAGAATTGAAGATGATCAGGACCATTATAGAGGCCAAGAAAGCTCCAGGTGCGAGAGTTCTTCGAGACCAACTATACCCAGTCAAAGTTGACAACAACAACCGCGCTGCCGTTCTCGACCAGGATGGCAAGGTCCTTCCTGGAGCAATGGAAGCCTTGGGCCAAGAGAATGAAGTCCAGATCGCCAAGATGGCCTGGTTGAGTCGAAAGAACAGCGCAAAGGCATATGGATCCATGGTGGTATACGTCACTAAAAATAGTGATGCTAAATTTACGAGACTCCTACAGGAACGCTACTTCCTTGCAGCAGGTGAATCAGCGTACACCGGGGCCTTCGAGCGGAGAACCGGACCGATGCAATGCTATAACTGCCAGGAGCTCGGCCATAAGGCATTCTCGTGCAGCAAGAATCGGGTATGTGCAAGATGCGCCGCCGAAGGCCATCATCATAGTGAGTGCCAGACGCAGGTACCTAAGTGTGTACCCTGCGGTGGGCCGCATGAGTCGTTCAGTAGAAGCTGCCCGAAACTCTACCCTAAGCGGCATGAGTAAGATGTTTCAGGTATTCCAACTGAATGTGAGAAAACAGGACATGGTACACGAGAGCCTAATGAACGATAAGCAACTCCAAGATTTTGCAGTTATAGCGATCCAAGAACCACAAGCATGGAAGAGGGATGGCAAACTACTAACAGCCCCTATGGGGCACCTCAGATGGATTAAATTAGTCCCTACAATTTGGAGGGACGGCAGATGGGCGATCCGGAGTATGTTGTGGGTGAACAAGGATGTGGAAGCGGAGCAGATACCGATAGTGTCACCGGATATGACGGCAGCCATCATACATCTCCCTGAGCGGCTGGTCCTGGTAGTATCAACTTACGTACCAGGGGGGGATGCTCAGGCCCTGCAAGACACCTGCAACACTTTACGCCAGGTCATCACAGACACAAGAAGAAAAGCTGGCAGGCTTGTGGATGTGATGGTTGTCGGAGACTTCAACCGGCACGACCAGCTATGGGGAGGAGACGATGTTTCTTTAGTGAGACAGGGCGAAGCGGACCAGATCATTGACCTTATGAACGAGTTTGGCCTCACCAGCTTGCTCCCTAGAGGAACGAAGACGTGGAGTGGAGGAGACTTTGAAACAACGGTCGACTTGGTCCTGGCCTCGGAAGAGTTGACCGCCTCGACCGTCAAATGCGCAACACACGGGACGGAGCACGGCTCGGATCATCGGGCGATTAACACGGTCTTCGACATTTCGGTTCCCAACCCAAAACAGCAGGACCGACTTCTCCTGAAGAATGCGCCTTGGAAAGAAATCAACGCAAGAATAGCAAGCGCTCTGGAGAATACGCCGTCGGAAGGCACAGTACAGGAGAAGACTGACAGATTAATGTCGGTGGTTATGGAGGCGGTTCATTCCCTGACACCAAGAGCCAAGCCGTCGCCGTATGCTAAACGGTGGTGGACGACAGATCTGACGCAGCTTCGTCAAATATACACGTACTGGAGGAACCATGCTCGGGCCGAAAGGCGGGCAGGGCGAACCCGGACAGAACTGGAAAAGATGGCAAAAGGAGCCGCGAAACAGTATCATGACGCTATTAGGCAACAAAAGAAGAAGCATTGGAACGAGTTTCTGTCGGACAACAACAACAACATCTGGATGGCGGCTAAGTACTTGAAGTCTGGGGATGACACAGCATTCGGCAAAGTCCCACAGCTGGTTAGAACGGATGGATCAGCCACAACTAACCACCGGGAACAAGCTGAAGAGCTGCTGTCCCAGTTCTTTCCTCCCCTGCCGAACGACATTGAAGATGAAGGCCCTAGGCCTCAGAGAGCTCCTATAGTGATGCCCGAGATCACACTGGAGGAGGTGGAACGGCAACTATTCGCAGCAAAGTCTTGGAAGGCGCCTGGGGAAGATGGACTACCAGTGATTGTGTGGAAACAGGTGTGGCCAGCGGTCAAGCATTGGGTAATGGCCATTTTCTGGGCATCTTTGGAGGAGGCAACGCTGCCTGACCAGTGGAGGCATGCAAAGATCATACCGCTTAAAAAGTCCGATAAAGAGGACTACACGATGGCAAGAGCCTGGCGGCCAATCTCACTGCTCGCCACCCTCGGCAAGGTTTTGGAATCGGTGGTGGCTGAAAGGATCTCACATGCTGTGGAAGCGTATGGTTTGCTCCCGACGAACCACTTTGGGGCCCGCAAACAGCGATCGGCGGAACAAGCGCTTCTGCTTTTGCAGGAACAGATCTACATCGCTTGGCGACGTCGACTTGTTGTAAGCCTCGTCAGTTTCGACCTTAAAGGAGCCTACAATGGAGTATGTAAGGAAAGACTGCTCCAGAGGATGAAAGCACGTGGTATCCCGGAGAAGCTACTTCGATGGGTAGAGGCATTTTGCTCAAATCGTACGGCAACAATTCAAATCAACGGCGAGTCGTCAGAGGTTCGAGAATTACCGCAAGCTGGCCTTCCACAAGGCTCTCCACTGTCTCCGATCCTGTTTCTTCTCTTCAATGCGGATTTGGTACAGCGGCGAATTGACAGCAACAGAGGGGCGATCGCATTCGTGGACGATTTCACAGCCTGGATCTCAGGTCCAACAGCACAGAGTAACCGCAAGAAAGTCGAATCAATCATCAAGGACGCGTTGGACTGGGAGAGTAGGAGCGGTGCGACGTTTGAGGCGAACAAGACGGCAATCATACACTTCACCCGGAAGGACTACAAGTCCGACTCCGAGGCGTTCACAATCAAAGGACGGGTAGTCCAACCGAAACACCATGTCAAGATTCTGGGAGTCATTATAGATGCTAGGCTCAAGTACAAGGAACATATCGCAAGGGCAGCTTCCAAGGGATTAGTGGCAGCAATGGAACTGAAGAGGTTGAGGGGCCTGTCGCCAGCAACAGCAAGACAACTGTTCACATCCACTGTAGCCCCGGTGGTGGACTACGCTTCAAATGTGTGGATGCATAGGTTCGTAGACAGACTCATGGGACCGATCAATAGGGTTCAGAAAGCAGGAGCACAGGCAATCATTGGGACGTTTAGTACTGTGGCGACAAGCGTGGCAGAAGCAGAGGCCCATATTGCTCCAGCACAGCAATGGTTTTGGAAGAGGGCGATCAAGATGTGGACGGATATCCACACATTGCCCGACACCAACCCCCTTCGCAGGTTGACCTCTCGCATACGAAGATTCAGAACGTCATACCGATCACCACTCTACCAGGTGGCGACAACACTCAGGGATGTCCCAATGGAGCAGCTGGAAACCATCCAACCGCTCACACTGGCGCCGTGGGAAGAACGAGTAAAAGTCATCACTGACGAAGTAGCAACAAGAGAGGCGGAAGTAGGCTGGGCCATACGCATCGCGGTGAGCAGCTCCGCTCGGAACGGTGTGGTAGGTGGTGGATCAGTCCAGATGTCAGCGTCGGTGCAAGGTGGGCCAAAGCTCGAGACTTTCTCGTTTACTCTTGGTATGAGAACAGAACAGAACCCATAGAGTGGAGAGCTTGCAGCAATGGCGTATGCCCTGAGGCCAACCATACCGAAGTTTCGATACCGCAGCGTCGCACTGATCACGAGCAATAAAGCTGCTGCGCTCGCAGTCAGACAACCCCGTCAGCAGTCGGGTCAAGAGTATATGCGCTGCATCTACGATTCGTTGAAAGAGCTCCGGGAGGATAGAAACGTGCTTAGGGTCCTGTGGCTAGCCTGTAGCGGCGAGAACAAGCTCCTGAAGATTGCCAAGAATGAGGCTCGGAAGGCAACACAGCGGGGAGCTATCCCTCAGAAGCAGTTCCCTAGCATGCAATCAACAACACTCAGCGTTGCGCGATCGAAAGTTGACGTCAATAGGACGCTCCCGGAAAAAGTTGGAAGACACTCTAAGCGAGTCGACGCAGCACTGCCAGGCAAACACACGAAACAACTCTATGACCAGCTATTATGGAAGGAAGCAAGTGTGCTTGCTCAGCTGAGAACAGGCATAGCGAGGTTGAATTCATACCTCTTTCATATCAAAGCGGTACCATCGGACAGATGCGACTGTGGGCAAGCAAGAGAGACAGTTGAGCACTTCCTCGTCCGATGCCGGAAATGGACAGCATACCGTACGGAGATGCTTCAATGCACGAATACCTGGAGAGGTAACATCTCTTTCTATCTTAGAGGGAAGTCGTCTTCTGACGACCAAAAATGGACACCAAACTTGGAAGCTGTTCGAGCGACGATCCAGTTTGCATTGGCCACGGGCCGCCTGGATGCAAGCTAACTTGGGAGATGAGCTTGAACGCAGATTCTCCCCCCCTCCTCCCCCCACTAACTTCCTATTTCCCACCTAACTCTAACTTTCACCCCGTGCCATAAGCAGCGGACGCCGCTTCAGTCGCCGTAGATAGGACACTGAACACTTGAGGAATAGCCTTCAAGCTAGTTCGCCAATAACACTACCAAACTACGGGACAGTGTTACTAATAATATAAACAATACGTATATTGGCAATATGGACCCCTCGCAATATTATTATATTATCAAGGGGTGCATATTATATTACCCAATATGAACATGGCCGATATTGCATTGTATTGCCAAGAATCCAATATATTGGCAGTGTGACAATATATCCCATATATTACACGTGACCTTCATTATTCAACTGCCGCAGCGAAAATATCGTCACCTTAAAAATCCCGTATCCTAAACCATGACTTCAAGTATTCTAATGCTTTAATTATATCACTCCCAAGTCGATTTCGACGATCTGTAATAGTTATCTTTGCCCCAGAGAAGAGTCGTTCAGGCTCGGCAGATATTAGAGGAATTGACAGTATATCTATGGCCATTTTGCTCAGGTTAGGATAGTTTTTTTACTATATCTCCTCTAGCTACCATACAAGGGCGCTTATAAACCTATAAACCTATTCAGACTTACAATAATACTTATACTTATCTGTAATAAGCGCTAGTTGTAGATGCTTATTTCTCTAATTCAAGAACTCGTTCGTCGTCATCGACAGGACCTCAGATAGAGGAAGATGCAGTTCCACAAGTTTATATTCATCCCACAGTATCTCCATCAACTTCTTTAACGACTCAGCCCACTCCTTCTTCCAGTTCTCGTATATATAGTGCCATTTATGCGAAGGGTGCAGCACAATCGCAGCAACATAGGCAGGCGATTCGTCAGTAAGGCGATAGTACTTGTCTATTTTCGCCCATCCCGAGTTATACATCGGTGCTATAATCCGGTCGTCGATATATGCCTCCTTCCCTGCTTCGAATTGTGCTAATACGAAGTCTATAGCCAAGAGGATATTGTCGAGGGCTGCAAACGATAACTTAAGAGCCTTAGTAGTTATTTTAAGCTTCTCTAAAAAGGACTTGATCTTCTTAAGGATGATCCAGTCCTCCGAAGAGAGCTCGTCTCTAGCGCAATCTGCTTCCGCCTATTTGTTAAAATACCTGCTGATTGCGTCCCTAAGATACAAGGCCGCTTGTAGTATAATATACCACGAACTCCACCTTGTGTTGTTATCTCGCGCAAGCTTACGGTTATAGCTAATAGCCATAAACTTCTGGTAATGCTGAACACTTTGTTGGATGAAAACGACAAAGTTATGAAGCTTGCTAAGAGGACCCTTTTGCCGCTATACCTCGATCTCCTTTAGCGTCATAATATATATACCAGGATCGTCGTGTTCGAGCTTCTTATTGTCGGTAACGAAGAGGAAAGCTTTGGCGGCGAGGTTGATGATGTGACCTTAGCAGCGAAGGCGGTGAGATCTGGGGTCGTATTGAATATCAAATCGGCGCAGAAGGCCTGTGAATGTTAGGGCAAATCCGAAGAAATAGTACGTCGTACTGACCAAGAGAAAGATATCTTATTATTGTATTGTTATTGCCTGTATTGTCCATCACGAAATATCTAAGTTTTGAAGCAAACCCCCAATTATCGACTACTTCTAAAACTGCCGCTGCAAGGTGAGAACTATCGTGCTCACTGTCGATATCTTTCAAGGCCAAGATATAGTATTCCAGCTGACCGTCTTCCGTAACATAGTAAGCGACTATTCCTAAGATGGCCAAAGAGTTGGGAGAAGTCCAAAGGTTGCAGCTGATATGAATCCTTAACTTTGCCGACTGTATGCGCTGCTTGACCTTCTCCTTCTGGCCTTTATACTGCCGCATAATCTATTTCTTGATAGTCTCGTGTGTATCTGGAAGCCAAGTATCGATATCGGTATTGAGGCAAGCCAAGAGTGCTCGGAACTCTGGGCATTCTACAAGCCGAAATAGGAGAGAACAGGCTGTAATAAACCTTATGTATAATACTTCGAGCTGGTCAGGGTCGATCGAGTCTCCGGATTAATTATTGAGCCGATAGCGTTTTCGGGGGTTTTCATCGGCCGTAAAACGAGCTTGTTCGAGAATAGTTCGTATATTTATGACTTTAGCTGTTCGGGAGGCGCCTTTTGGGAGGCTATAACCATCAGGAAGAGGATCTGTAAGGTGCTTGGCTGGAGCGGCAGTTCCACCAGAACAGGAATATGTTTTGTTATAATGCTTATAGCGCTACTCTTCTTTTCCGGTCCGTCGATTATAGTATCTTATCTCTATCTCCTCGTCTGGTATATAGGAGAAGACCCATGATGTTCTTGGCTTGGCCAAGGAGGTTCTAGAGACTATGCGAGGTCGCGACAATTGGCAATTAGAGGTTTGGCTCTCGTCTGGGTTATATAATTGCTAACTGGAGAGCTCTAAAAAGTCATCTGATATTGACGACCCTCTTTATTGCAACATTTAAATAAAAGGCAGGCGTTGTTAAGGCATGGAGGTTGTTAGTAGTCCTCTGTAAAATGACAGAAAAGGGGTCTCGAAGGGCTGCCCGTGAACGATACTCTACCCTGTAGACTATGAATTTATACTTTTACTACGCGTTTTCTTGCCCCTGACGTAAAACAATAAACCAGTTACGCGTTTTCTTCGCACGCGTCCCCACATATCGACGTTAATTATCAATAAAACAAGTGCAATTTGCCCGAAGATCCGCCAACCAATACAGACGATATATTGCCAATATGGATAACCTTATATTATATTGTTACAATATCACAACCTGCGTATTATATTGGTACAATATCAGAAAACGCATATTGTATTGTATGTATTGCAATATATTGTTTTATTATCATATTATTAGCAATACTGCTACGGGAATCCACAGCCAGAGACAGAACAGGCAAGGAAGCATAAGCAAGAAGCAGATGCAGAATGGGCTTAAGGGGGCAAGGACTCAATTTGAGCAACGCATGACACAGTATGGGCTTAGGGAAATAAGGACACAGGTAAGGCAAGGGAGGACACAGTATTGGCTTAAGGAGACCAGGACACAATTTGAGCAATGCACATGTATATTAGTATCAGTGCCCTTTCGGTTTAAGCCGCCGGGCGTTAATAAATTGAATGAATGAATGAATGAGTGTACAAATTGTCAAGAGGTCAAAGATGTGTGTATTGTATGATTCTCCCTAGCTAGCTAGGCGAGGGAATTGGAGCCTGTATGAGGTCCCGGCTGCCTGAGGCCACAGCCGCCGTAGGCGGTCGTGGGCTTCCTTCAACACAAATCAATACCAAATCAATATCAGCCTGTATTATTTCAAAACAAAACAAAACAGTGGTCAATTTTGTTTTGTTTTGCTTTGTTCGGAGCGCTGGATGCAACTGCGGCGAAGGACAGCAGACAGTAGCCCACATCCTGTTTCAATGCAGGAAGCACACCGCACTTCGAAACAAGGAGTTGGGCCAATTCCCAGGGCATCGAAGCCTTATTGAGCGAGCGCAGAGTAGCAGCAAAGGTCGTCAAGTTCATGGAACAAACCCAGATCCTTGGCCAGTTCGCGGGCTAGCTCGAGGCTGTCAGCAACACCAACGCCGTCCGGCGATAACTTCATCCCGGTCACTCAATCGTCCCTGCGAGATGAGATTGTGGTTAGGTCTTTGGACCTAGGCTAAGAGACTTTCTGCGTGATTCTTAGTCACCTCTAGCTGTCAGAACTTTTGGTATGTAGAGGGAAGGTAAGGAAAGAAGGAAGAAATTACCGAATTTCACGTGAGGGGTTGTACCATTAGCAATAAGGGGTTATATGAATAGCACGACTCGTATTAAAATACGAGCAGTCCTCCATACAGTAGGCCCTCTGTTTCGATCCGATTTTCCCAATCCAGAGCTGTCCAAGGGCTGCTTGTGGTGCCTTGATGGCATGATTTGGTTCCACTCAATATGGTCGAATAAAGTTGAGACTCGATGCTGCACAGGCTGCACTCACCGAGAGGTCGACCACGTTGTTTTCGTCTGTCGTTTGAGAAGACAAGGAAACTATGTGCCGAGCCGCGTCGATTCCCAACCCGCACAAAAGCTTGACAGCTTGGAAGTCGTCTAGATGCTCATGATCCGTCGTTGATCCTATGGGTTTCCTCCGCTAGAACGTGCTCCCGGAACCATGGCAAGTACACCTTATCGGTCCACGAAGTAAGCTGCCTTAGTCCCGCTACAGTCTGGTATAGTTCCTTGATGCTCTGCGTACTGCCAAACTGACGTTCCGTCCAGAAAATGGTCTTAGCGCCTTCGCGCGTCGACAGCACAAACAGTCAACGGTGACCTTGGACAATGACTCCTGGAATGAAAGGCAATCGAGATAAGGCCTCATCTGCCTGCTTCTCCTGCTCTTTAGTGGGTACTGTGTCGCTCGGCTCCCGCAGCGATGAAAGAACTGCTGAGCGGATGAACCCCCACTGAGCCGCGTGCCAGACACCCATTTGTACTTCAGCCGTGTTCAACGCCGGAGCTGGTCCCTTAGTCTCAATGCTCAGGACGATTGGGCGTAACTGCAGTCGCTCGAAGTCGGTGTGGTTGACAGTAAGGGTCAATGTCCTTCGACAGAGTGCTTCGAGAGCTTGTAGAGATTGAGGGTCTTCCTGAGGCAGGTCGGCATAGAGGCAAAAGTCAACCATCTTAGATCCAATGGATCTCGGAAGCCAGTTCCTATGTGGCCGAGCAGTGGTGCTATTAAGCGAGGTTAGTATTGCATTCATGTCCATGCTTCAGCAAGGGACTTACCAGGTCGCAAAGTTGAAGAGGCCTCCTTTGGTTCGCCCAGGCTCCCTAAAAATTGCCTCCATCAGCCGATGGTGTACCTCGGCGTTCCAGCCCGCTTCCTCGTGCCCGAGTTGACGACAGTCTTTCGCCCACTCGTACACCAATGCAACCTCTTGAGGCGACGGAATGCGGCCTGGAAGGTTTTCAAACTCGCTGGAACTCTTGAAAGAGTACCTCCAAGGTCGGGGATCTAGGCCTTGTAACATCGAGCTTCCTAGAATTTCATCCCGCCGATTGTCGGGGAGGAACTCGAGACTACTGCCGATTTCGTCTAGAGTAGACAAGAGAAGGCCAGCTTCGAGGTTCGGCGCGGCTTCAATTTTGAGTTCACGAATCTCGAGGCCTGTTTCATCGAGACGAAGGCCCATTATTTGTTTCTTCAGCGGCGATGACGAGCGGGGGCGATAGGACGAGGCACTGGAACCCGAGACGGACGACACCCTAGACGGGCTACGGCTAGGTGCGCTCTCATTATGAGGACGAGCTTGAGGCGTTAAGTCGGGGTCGGTCGCTGGATCCGGTCTTCGTAGTCGCTTTCGAGTTGGCGTTTGGTCCATATCGAGTACCGTTGCTGGAGGACTCGGCTCCTGCAATGCCTTGCGTTTATTTGTCGTTTTCGCTTGCCATGGAGGACAATTAAAAGAATCAGGCAAGGTTTCGATCCAAGCAGAAATCCTCCGAGTATCGGTCATGGCTCGTTATGCCATGCCGGGTGCTAAAAGCTGGGAGTCGGCGATTCGCGATGGTATAATGACGATGTGCGTTATTGTGGTTTGTTTAGATGGCGAACCCCTCTTTTGGCGAGGCAACGGTGTGGCCGTTGATGCCTCAGGCCACATACATCAACGCAGTCTGCAACATACCCTAGAGGCGTCCAATGACAATAAAGAGCTTTGAGGGGCAGCCACGTGATATCACATGACTTCCTAAATAGCACGACACCTCTACTTCGACGCTCCAGTCTAGGGTAGCCGCTGCGCTAAACCCGATTGAATTAAATGTGAGCCAAGACTTTTCAGTGGGTCAACGCCTTTCCTATTTGGAATTTATCTGAGCCAAGACTTTCCTTATGTCAGCGATCAACTTGTCAAACTTCAATCCGTTAAATATTCCAAACCACGATAACTTATTCCAGAAAGCTTCCCCTGAAAAAATTTTCCCCTCCCTGCAGCTGTTAGTGGTTTGCTAGTGGAGGGGCATTTTTCAGGCCACCCGACCACGCTTTTGCCTTCAACGCGAGATGGAGAGCCGTTACACTCAAAATTGGAGTTGTGAAGTCCTGCGATGATGCTTAGAAACGGTTTACCAGGTAACGTCATTTCTTCGCACGTGACTTAGGCTATCTCCCTCTAGGGTAGGTCGGTTATCGAAGTTCAACGTGCGATGCACATCCCAGACAGGCACTTTAATAAATAAATGACGAGTTTCCCTCTCCAGGGGACTTTAGCGGCCACACAGCCGCCCGGACGGAAAATACATATATATGCATAGATACATATTCTTACTCTTACCCCCTACTACTGTACCAAGGGTGCACTGTATTTTGACCAAATACACACAAACTGCCCCGTGCACGCTGCTGTGTCCTCCCCGTATTTCGTCAAAATACACACGTCTTTCGACCGTGCAAGTGGGAAGCTGACCTTTACCATTTCCGCTGAGTTCAACAAGGGTGGTACAGACCGTTGAGTTGCCCAAAGGTCGTCGATATTATAGTCCGCACAATGACATACAAGCGGCAAGTTTGATGTTCGACGCGGTAATGAGATAGGCTGAGCATGGCCCCTCGCCGACGGACTAATGGTGCTTCACTCCCTGTTTTTGGTAGTTGCCAAATTGTATATTAGATGGGTACTTATGACATGCTATGAAAAGCCGGGCGTCTGGGTTTTGGATGAACCTGCTGCTTATGCGCATGTCACATGATGACGCATATATTTCGCGTGCTCAGAACTGGAACTCGTCGCATTTGCAGCGTGTCATTTAGGCAGACTTAACAAATTCTACCATTCATACTAACACCCCCCAACCTAGCCAATGAATTCGTTATAGGATTACCTCGCACACCCTGAATCATACGACCCTTAGTCAACTTGCATACTATCATGTGTCTCCTGACTTATAGTAAGCTTGGTGATTGGGCTCAGGCATCTCGCTGCAGTTCATCTGACATGCGTTTGGTAAGCCAGCTTATTAATCTGTTCTCTGCAAGCCCTGTGATTCCGTAAGATTCTACAGTCTTCTTTCATTTATGCGGCGAGTGAAAAATAATATGAATATAAAAGCCTCTTGACCTTCCTCCCTCCCTGACTGGAAACTTTTACTTCGATTTTCCTCAGTATCTGGTTTATTTGCTATCAAGCCTAAAGAAGCAGTGTTCTTTTGCGCATTCCCTTAGGGACCTTCTGGACCTTCTGGTAGGTCGCTTGCTCAAACTATCCCGTTCTCATTTGACGCCGCTTCTAATATACTCTAGAAAATTATGGCACGGGGAAATATGGCACAGGAACGCGAGGAGATACTGGCCTACGTTGATCTTGCCGATATCGAGCGCTCCGGTGATGGATATGAAGCCATGAAGAGAAATCCGAGAAAGTCATGGAACGAGAAGGATAACTCCGATACCTTAGAGGAGCTTGAGCAGTGCTTTGGCTGGCAGGCACCGACCACTCTTATCCCGGCGTTTTCTCACCCTACTGACCTTTTTCGGCGGGCTGCTAAACGTGGTAAATCAAACGTGGACTTCCTTGTTGTTAACATCCACGGTCTCCGGTTTTGGCGTCCTGAGACTCTTGAAGAGAAGTTTGGATATAGGTTTGATGATTCTTTTGAGTTCGGCGTCCCTGTTATCTGGAGCGGCGTGATTTCTGTCGACCGTATACAGTGCGACAATGGTTCTATCAGTATTCTGACCTCGCTTTCAAATTCGGTCACTTCCGAATAGACGAAAAGGGCTTCAGATATGGAGAACTGACAAGGAAATTTGGTTGGGCGTCATGCGAGACATAAAATACTACGTCACCCCTTGCACTTTAGAGCGGTGGTGCAAAGGGTACAACCAGCCGAAGGCTGAGAGTCGTGGGCCAAGCAATTATCAACAACCATTACATTATTTACGCACTGGAGCAATTTTGTAACATTTCTCCTTGTCGCGAGCAGAACCACCTAGAATTACCCAGAACCGTGGTCTGTCTTGTAGGGATTCCGTGTAAGAATTTGTCGTCTCCGAAGCTGCTGATCCCTCATCTTCATCTTCATACCATCCGGGGGAGACGCGTAAATCAGGTGAATGTGATCAAATGGGGCATCCAACATCAAGCCCTCGAGCGTTTTCACACGAGAGACAGCCACGTAGCTTAACCCAGTCTGGAAATCCCGGCAGGAGAGATCGGTAACGATCATACCTTCTGCGATGCTTTGTGACTTGTGAACGGTAATAGCGTAGCATACGATCCATGCCAGTAGCTGTGAACCAATCTGATGGGGCTATGGGAGCGACAGTATCCTCGTCAGAATCCGCGAACCAGTCCTGCGGCCTGATGGCTATACTATCCCTGTCAGCATCTGCGATCAATTCGATGGAGTTTTTAACAGCGACTGCATCCTTGCAGGATGAACCGCGATCCTAATTCAACAAGCTACCCTATAGACATTCCACCCGTTGTCGTAAACTTCTTTCCGCAAGAGAGATAGCACGGCCTTCACAATGTGCGTCGTCCAGGGTACAGTCGCCTGAGCGGTCAATTACAGTCATGGACTACACCTAAGCTTGGGTGGTCTCGTCGCGTAAAATAAACTGCTCTCGCCTCCATCCAAACCACTTCGCCATTCTCTTACCCATGGCTCGTAACATAACAGGATCAATCTTGGGAACAGGGTGAGGTTTATGAAAGACAATCTTGCCCTCCCCGTCAAGTTTCTTAAACGACACTGGCGACCCGCCGTTATTCCTCGCAGTGAATCCCGCATCTACCATAGCGTGAACGAACCTATCCCATAACACGTCCTTCACAACGTCGTCTTTCTCAGGGAACATCAAGAGAAATATGTCCAACGATTGCTTCGTCACTTTAATGGCGGTAGCTTCGAATACTGCGGTAGGTTCCGTTTGTGCACCTGGAGCGCTGTCATGTACCGGCGTAATATCGCCGACAGAGTGTTTTTGTTTACCTCTTGTTTTTGTCTTTTCTGGGCGCGGGGCAATCGTTGTGGTCGCTGAACGGCTTTCGGCCCCGTCAAAGAAATTGGTTGCGGGTTGTGGGCTATCAGATTTCTGGATAGCAGCGAGAATTGCATCTTCTTCTCGCTGCTTGTCTTGCAGATACTGTTCACTCAGATTTGCCGAAACGACTTCAAGAAGGCTATCGACCTCTGCCGGACCGAAAGCCGAGTCTTCAAAGTCTTTCCTGATTGCTCTTCTTATCGACTCCCAGAACTTCTCCAGAGCCGCGCGGAGCTCCTGGGACTGCGCAAGCCAGACAGAAGTCTTTGGACCTGTCGGTGTCTTTGCAAGATAGAAGTCCTTGAAAAGTGACATCCCGATGCCTTGGGGGTCGCCGAAATCTTCCACGTTACTACTCCTGGATCGTAGCCATCTCCAGACGTGTCTGTCTTCTGTCTCTTTGACCTCCTTAAACGTTCTCGCTGCATTCTGCGGTCTGTGGAAACGGACAGCCATGATCATTTCATGGCAAGTCGCGAGATCCGAGAGCAGCTGGTAGATGACCTCATCCAGTCTAGCCCTCTCAGACGGGTTATTAGACATGTGCTCCTGCAGCATTGCGAAGAGCATGGAGTGATCAAACGTCCTTTGGTCGTCGGGCTTCGCGAGTAACTGGACCAGACACCAATAAAGGCGGTCATTAGCGAGGCACTCCTGTGTGTTGGCAGACTTCTTTCGGCGGAGGACGCCAATTGCATTGGGTTGTTTCGCGCCAGGCTCAAAGATCCAGTGTTCCTGAAGCCCTGGAACGTACGGCAAGAGTTCCCGAAGGCAGCTGGCTCTGTATATGGCCTGATTGACAAGGAGAAGCTCCAGGGCTCCGAGAGCTCGGTTGTAGGAGACCGGCAAGGTGGCGCCAGGATATGTGCTGTCGCGAAATCTCTCTCGAGCCGCGTCGACATGTCTGCACTCCATTTCAATCCAGCGCCACCAATGGTGACTCCGCACCTCGGAGCGGATGCGTTGCGTAACCATCGCACCTTTCTGGGTATCTGAGGCCTTCTTAAAGATCTCGGTTGCAAACATGATCTTCAGATGCCGCCGTATGTATGTGGCATCGCACTGCAAGTACCAGAGATGATCTCCCGTTGCATCTAGTCGAGTCTTGGCGAGCGAGACCAGGTATTTACTGTCAAATTCCGGCGGTGGTGAGAAGGCTTGGTTTGTGTATGGAGACCAGGACTCCACCACTCCTGTCTCTCTAAACGCCGCGTTGCTAATGAGATTTATCCACTTGTCGATTCGAGGGGGTTGCGAGTTGTCGACACCATCAAGGATCTTCGCCACGATGCTGCAGAGAACTTCCATGAGGTATGCCTGCGCTTCAAGAACCAACATTGCCCGGGGGAACCCAAGGGTATCAGCTCGATGGGCTGCCTTTTCTTCCCAGTCCACCAGTGACCCATATCTTTTTCCATACATAACAACAGATTTCGCCGAGAAGTCGACGTCAAAGTATCCAGCTGCCCAACTGAGAGTGAGTTGCCCGCTATCGAACGCTGCCCAATGCTGAGGAGAATAGGCTGTCCTATAGTGCAATAAAGCAAAAACGAAACGCAGGATTAGTCTTCAGGACTTCCACGTTCAGCCAGGGCAAAAGGAGTTGGCGTCTCCGCTCCTGGCTCCTCGCATGTGTGATAAGCCTCTCGCGAAGGTAGGTGTATCGCGGGATAAGCCACTGCTTCTCTTCGAGGTCCGGAGCCGCCTTCTTCAACAAAGCCTCGCGCTTTGCTTGGCTTCGCTTTTTCCACCGACTCAGCAAGACATCAGCAAAGACATTCAGACGTTCTGTCAATGCGCCCCTCAGATCGTGAATCTGCTTCACGGTCGAGAGCACCCTGCGCTCCGCGTCTGCGTCGGAAAGCCTGCGGCGATACGAAAGACCGGAGCCATACTGTTCCTCAACGGTGTAGAACCCGTGTTGGCAGTCGACACACTCGCATGGCGGGTGACCTATGGCTTCTTTAACGCTCTCGACAGTTGCGGTATACACAGGATCTGATGATCCATCATCCTCCATGAGAGTGAAAGGAGTCATTTCTTGCGTTTCGTTGCACTGGGTTTGAGAGAGGATAAAGTCTTTGATTAGAATCCTTTCCGAAGTCCGGGGGAGAATGCTGGCGTTGTAGAGCGCGAGTATTTTGCAAGTCAAGGAATTCGCATTCTATTCTCAATTTAAATTGGGGAAGCTTATGTAAGGGATTTCCCGGTGATCTGCCGGATCTGGTGATCCGCCGGATCACCGCCACTTCGCACACTCAACATCAATCGACAATTACTCAACAACCATGGCGCCGATTGATGAGGCCCTTGATTTCCTGAAATCGTCGGAATCAGTTAATTATGCTGAGACTGCACGGCGTTTCAATTGCGACGAGACGACCTTGCGACGCCGACATCAAGGCAAACAGCGGTCAAGACGAGATGCCGACAGTTTGTATAAGTCACGTCTGTCAAAACAACAAGAACGGGATCTTATCGCTTATATTCATAAGCTTTCATCGCGTGGCATTCCCCCTACCTTACCTATGATAAAGAACTTCGCCCAGGATATCGCCAAAATCGAGGTCGGAAAGGACTGGCCGTACAGCTTCGTTCGACGCAATCGTGATGAGTTAGGTTGTACATGGTTCGACGGGTTGGACATCGCGCGAAAGAGAGCCGATAATGCCTCTAGGTATAGGGCTTATTTTGAGCTTGTAAGCCAATGCACGAAGCTTCCCTTTCACAACTGACAGTGGAAGATCCGCACAAAAATCGAGAAATACAACATCCTACCCTGCAACACGTATAACGCGGATGAGAAAGGATTTCTCTTGGGTGTGATCAATCGAACGAAGAGAGTATTTTCCATTAACGTCAAAAAGCAAGGCAAATTGCTCGGTGCGTCGCAAGATGGTAATCGATCTTGGATTACGTTCCTGGCGTGCATCAGCCAGGACATGACATCGCTGCCCCCATTCCTCATCTATCAAGGCAAACCAGGACAAGTCCAGGACTCTTGGCTCAATGAATTTGACCCAGAACATCAATCAGCCTTCTTTACCACCTCAGAAACGGGGTGGACAAATCACGAGCTTGGAAAAGAGTGGCTCGTCGGTGTTTTCGATCGCTTTACTAAGGCAAAAGCTCGAAACGGTCGTGATTATCGCCTTCTCATTACCGACGGCCACTCTAGCCATGTTAATATGGACTTTCTGGAGTGGTGTGACCAGCACCGGATTATCGTTGCGGTGTTTCCCCCCCATTCCACGCATCGGCTGCAACCCTTGGACGTGTCGCTATTCAGCCCCCTTTCGACCGCATACTCAAATCAGCTTATCCAGTGGACAGCAAAAACACAAGGCCTTATTGGCCTATCGAAACGTGAGTTCTGGACTTTATTTTGGAACGCATTTGAGACTTCCTTCTCTTCCGAGAACATTGCGAGTGGGTGGAAACGGACTGGTCTCCTGCCTTTTGACCCAGAAGTGGTCCTATCGCAGATCACTGAGAAAAAAGATGATGATTCGAATACGGGTAGCGACTCGGCAGAATCACTAGCCCTTCAGCAACCTACGGCCCGAGATTTACGCCGACTTATTGACAAAGTAGTCGACAAATCCTCTATCGATGCTGACCGCAACAGCCGAAAGCTGAAGAACACCCTCGAAAGCCTGCAATCTGAGGTTGAACTGCTTCGATATGAGAATCAAGGACTCCGCGAGACAATTAGCCAAGAAAAGAAGCGCAGACAGCGCGGTAAAGCTCTGAAAGATCTGCTCTTTGATCGTACAGATCCAAATTCAGCTCAGGTGTTTAGCCCAGCAAAAGTCGCTCAAGCCCGCCTAAAGAAAGCGGCGATGGACGCCCAAAAGAAAGAGGAGGTTCTGCAGAAGGAATCGCAAAAGGCTCAGCGACAGCAGAAGGCGGCGGAGCAAAAAGCTCTCGCTCTGGAGAAGAGGAGGCAACGAGAGGCGGAAATAGAGAGAAAACGGCAGGTAAGGGAGGCCAGGCAGCAAGAGAAGGAGACCAATCGACAGATTCGACAAGAACTTAAGCGTCGCAATCTGGAAATGGCACATGAAATGCAACATGAACGACGGGTGGCTTCTGAAGGCCGCGAGAAGAGTCCGGACGTTCGAGACGAGATAATCGTCGCTCTTCCACTCATACCAGAGCCGCCGGTAGCATCACAGGCCCTAGATCTACCAAAAGACAACCGAAAAGGGAAGGCAGCGACCACTCCAATCCGTACCGCTCGTCCGAAAAGACCCTGTCTAGCTGTTGAGAGTGATCGGGAGATGGTAGTCGCATTTCGGGGTACCGGGCGGCCGCAGCGGAATAGCAAGCGACCACGATGGCTTGATGACTGCGAAATAGACTGAGACATATCTTATAGTTGCATTTTCATTATGTGTTTAATTTTGGAAGATTTGGGACTGCGGCTGTGGAGCTATTATAGATTGATGTCTGGAATGCAAGTAGGTGTAAGTCCGGCGAATCACCAGATCCGGCAGATCACCGGGAAATCCCTTAATGTGACCGCATGTTCTCACCAAACCCTTGCTTATGACAGCCAATCGTATCCCTGCCCCAATTTCTCAATTTGCGTCAGGAAGCATACTGACTACCCTACATCATCGATCACGGCGACCGTATTGTGGCGAGTGGGATTTTTTCTGCGAACCTCTGTTGTGCTTTTGTGAATTCTTAGCTTCGCCATTATATTAGGAATAAGTATAGTTGTTTGTTGATGTAGGAAGTTGACGTTATTTCCTGGAGGAAGGAAAAGGTTGGGTTGAAGATCAGTCAGGTAGTGAAAGGAAGATAAATTTTCATCAGAGATGTCTCCAATTATGCCAACTCCTTTTATCTCGCTGTCTTGACTACTTGCTGCTCTGCTCTGCTTTCCCACCCCCTGAACCGGTTTGCCTATCATGATCCTTACACATTCCTTGTCTGGTCATCACAGTCTCGTCTGCCCTCCAATCAACCAGCGAGCTATCCGCCACTTCAAACTCAAAAGAAGCAACTTAGCAACCGGCTCCAAGGATCTCCGACACTTCATACTCCTGGATTCATTTCCTGTCGGAGCAATTAAAGCGCAAGCAAACAAACATGAAAGCACAACCAATGGCTTATCAAAGAATTGACTCTCTTCCTCTTTCCTCTGTGAATCTAACCCCTATTCCTGGTATACTCTCTTTGGTGCAGCAATCTGAGCAATGCCTCCCCTTTCCGTTTCTCTCGAAGAGCAGAGAAAGCGTCGACGAGAGCAGGCCAGACTTCGCCGCGGAAATGCTCTCCATGAAAGGCGGATGCAACACCTCCGAGACAGCACCCGGGACCCTCATATCCGATTAGTCCACGCCCCCGATCACCTCGACCGAGACTCAGCTGAGAGTCTTACCTTGACCCGACGAACTCCTCACAATCGGACAATTCCCGTTTCCGTTACAGAGTAAGTACCCACACGACAAAGCACGCGACGAGGCAGTCATCCGCGAGCAAGAACACGACCTCCACGACAACGACCGAAGCACCAGAGTCCAAGAGCACACGCGGCAGGAAGGGGCCAGCAGCCCGATGCGGGGGTCCCTCACGGACGAAGGTCAAGCACTGCATCATCATAGCTGTCATAACTGCCGAAATAACAATCTTCCATCCTCTATTGCAAGAGCCTATTTTGGCCCAATCTATCGTTTTTTCCCCCTGTGCTGTAAGGCACATCAACTCAGCCCGAGTGACCGAACCTGCGGAGACATTCTCGAAATATCCAGGCCGGTTGGTAAGAGGAAACACTTGAACTGATCTACCCTTTGCCCAATTATCAACATCTGGGAGCATCCCCTCCTCGACGTCTTCGGGGGCATCTTTCTTCATCGTCATATTCATTTCGTATTTCTCTATAGGACTATCTAACTCGTTTATCGCAGTCTCTTTGTGGCGCAAAGGGCTTTGGTCGCAGGTTCCCTGACTGGGCGAACCGGCAACTTCTCGAAACGGTCATCCTCAGCATGAATCCAGTAACTGTAGAAACTACTGGCGCAAACAATTTCATCCGTGGGAATCAAATTACCGCTACAATCGGTGAGATTACATGGAGAAAAGCCACATCGAAGTTTCCTCAATCTCACCAACTTCGCAGCATAGGCCAGATTTATCGCTCGCTGCAGCCTGATGACTGTGACAGTTGGGCCCTCGACCATTTTCCTGCCTTTCACTTGATAATCGACTAGAACAATGAACCTCTGCGCTGCCTGGGCACGGGCAGTTAATTCCAGGATGAAGATGCGGCCACCCTTTTTCCATCCCGAGCTTTTGGAGAACCCACCAAAAATGGCAGGAAAATGGCGACGTCCAGGCTGCGTTTGAACAGGATATGTGAATGTTGTGACGTAATCCTTCCACACGGTTGAGCAAAGGCTGAACCCGTCATTATTGGGGTTCACGTCCGCAGCCTGCACCTGTCTGATGAAGCAAACGGGCTCTGGCTCAGCGTCCGTAACAAAAGTTGATGGAACCCAAAGGGGATTCGAGAATCTGATGCATTCGTTCTCTATATCCGACCGTAAGAAGGTTAATTCAGGGAACATAATAGGAAGTATTAGGGACTTCGACCATTTAGAGCGTTGGTCCCCTTCGGTCATTAAAACAGCGTTTGCGAGCGCCTGTTCGTTCGGATCTCTCCGGATCCTCAATGTCGCCTGGAGGCCTCGTGGTATCATCGTTGGATTAAAATCCACATAGCGAAAACGGGTGCTCTTTAGGTCCACTAGGTCCGGGTACTTGTGGAATTGGCTAGGTGACCTGGCTAGGCCATTAGGCGCGAATCCCGCCTCAGCTTCCGCAGAGCTCCACGCTAGAATGGAGGCATCCTCATCGACCTTGAGAATTTCCTCTTGTAGACGCCGGAATGCTCGCTCTCCCTCGCCGTAGAGCAATGGCATGTTGATGTCGAAAAGTCCGAGGAGCGAATACGCACGATCCTCGATTTTAGTGGTCTGTCGGTTTGCGGCCCAGGACATACGCCTCGCGATTCGAAACGGCCAGAACCTTGGGCCATCTCGGCCCACATCTCTGACGACCTTTCGGACATCTATGCCCGTAATTATTTCGATGACTTTATATAAGTCACTGGCGGTGCCACACTTCTTCCAATTCTGGTCAAAAAATACCAGACTCCGTGGGGCTAGGAGTTCTTGGAGGGTCCAGCCTCGAGTAAACCATCGAGATTCTTTGAAGGACTCGATGCATCCTGCTGCGGACAGGCCTCTGCCAAGTGGGTTGCCGCTATGAGTAGGGATAGATACGTCGTAGAGGTAGGCATAGCAGGTTCCAGAGCTCTCATACCACTGATACATCGAGTTAATGGCTTCTTGGAGTTCGGCACTGCTGGATTTATCGATACAGCAGGTGTCGGCCCATACATATTCATAACCATCTTTTAATGCCTGGCGACTGAAGTTGTAGATTTTGCGGAAGCCTTGCTTTTCCTGAATATGCCTCATTTCTGGTGCCACTTTGCCATGCTCAACTACTCTGCACATGTCCTGGTACGAGAGCTCATCCTGCTCCCAGCGGTGGGATAGTATCGCATACTCTGGAATATCGTCGCCGATAAAGTCTTCAAACTGAAGAGTCTCTGCTCTCAGGAGACGCATCGCGGCTCAGCCGTGAAGAGGGAAGTATGCATGAATGAATGAATGAAATTTATTCCGCCCGGGAGGACTAACCTCATAGGGCCAGGTGCGCTAGGCTATTTACAGTTCTAAGTTTATTGTTCGCATCTCCCAGAAGCCCAACATTCTTCCTCATCCACTTATCGGTCTTGCCTCGCTTGACTCTGTGTAACAGGCCTGCTTGAAGGCTGATTTCTCCAAGTGTTCAGCATCCTATCTACAGCAGCTGAAGCATGGTCTGCTAGTTTGAGGCTGTTTCGTGTTAGTAGAAGTATGCATGTGGCTGGGTGAGACCCGCCATTTAATCTGGAGTATTCCAAGGCTTATCCAAGCCCAAGGGCGGTCGGGGCTGGCAGAATGCAGCACCCACCTTTTTTGACCAATCCCGTGAGGATCACCTTATGGCAATGTGCCTAACCTCTGCTAATGTAGACCCTGGTCTATCACTGAGGACAGGAGAGGCAAACCCTACTGTACAATAACAAGGATGTTAGACTTCAAAACTTGGTGTAGCCAGGGATCAGGTAGCCCGAGCTTTGAAGCCTGATTCCTTGAAGCCAGGCGCAAATGCTGATTGGTTATGGTTTAGGGTTAGCCCCACTATGGGTTAAGGGTTAGCAACTAAACCATAGCCAATATGTGTAGGATGATTGGTAGGGACAGGGAAGTTCAACGAGTTCCTATCGTTGAACTGTATCTGTCGGAAAACTTGCGTGGCACTTCAGATGACTTGATTGTGTGTATTGTGTGTGTTCTCACCGTTGCCCCTATTGTGATCGCTTGAGTGTACGTCTGTCGACTAAAAGTGGGGTCCTGAGGTATCTGCCCCAATAGGCGGTCTCGACCCTGGAGGTCACCACATGACCACCCGATCAGATGCTTTGTACATGATCCAATCTAACACTTCTTTGAACCATTCATAGCCGCATTTGCCAAGACGCCAGACCCAGAGGGGCCAAACTCCGGACAGAGGGTTAGACGCCGGAAAGAAGTCAGACCCAAGGGTGGAGGCTGGACTTCAGAGCGAGGCGAGAGCCCAGAAAGGAGACCATACTCCGGGAGACGAGACCGCAGAAAGAGGACGAGACCCAGAAGAAGGCCACTCAAGAGGTGATAGGATCGTTCAGTACATGTAATTAATTGGGTGCTAAACTGGGCCCTTGGCTCAGCCACAGCAAGCAAGAGGGTACTATCGTACAAGACACATGTTGAGAAATGGGCCTCAAGGCCCGGGCTACCGCCAACCTCCATCGAGGCCTCGCCAATACCGTCCGCGGCCCTCCTCCAGGAGCTATGGTCCTGGAACAGCCGTGGTACAGTACAAGGACACATTTGGACGATGGCACAGAATCATGAGTGGGTCTCCTTTACGGAATCGTTCGGTAGGAGCACCTTGTTCCTGGGGCCGTATCCAGTAAACTAGGAAACACGGAGAATCACAACCACCAAAATTGTTAGACGGAAAGGGCTAATAGGGTAGTCTCAATAGGCCCGGAGTCCTAGCTAGCCGGTCTCAAGGTCCCGGATTCTTGGAATCCGGTCTCAGGACCGTTGTCCCGAGTATCTCAAAGACGTCATCACGGCCCTAGATAAATAGCTGATTTTCCACCTAGACAGATAGAGGGACAAGACATGTCCATCGCTAACTAAGCTGTTCTAACCAATCTATTCCGTTTGATAAAAATATCGTGTCCCAACCTGGTCATGGGCATCAATAAGCAATCATTCTGTCCATCCGCACGAAGCGGCAAGGTACCCGGCTCAATCAGCCCGAGCGCAAATTCTCCACTGTTCGGCCGACCTGGTACCAGAAGAAGCTGCGCCATCTGACCGACTAGGAATGAGCGCTCTCCTGAGCCGTCTTCCAGTGTCATAACGTTCGCACATTCCAAGTTGGCACCGAAGTCGGCTCCCCATTTCAAGGAAGGACAGTATCGAATGGGGAAGTCGATCACAGGGCCCAAGTAGTGCCAAGCACCCAGATCGACAGGGGACACAGCGTAAAGGAATACTCGAGGGCCCATACTGTGAACTCCGCCGGAGACGAGGCCGTAAAGACTTTTTTGTCCTCGGAGTTGATCGAGGGCAGGCCATTCCGATAGAAAGGGGTCTCGAAATCCCCATACCTCAACATCATCCGGTTCTCCGCTCAGGATCGAGTTCTCGTTGCTCTTATTCCATGTGTTGCCACCATCTCGGGAGACTGCCATGGGCAGGCCAACACAGTTCCGCTGGTACGGCAGCTTCCAAGAGATTGGAAGATGGCAAGCCGAGGAGTATATGTCACACTGAATGGATAGGATCAGGATGATGATGATGAAAGCTCTTGATTTCCTATCTAATGAAGGGCTAGGGATCGGTCTTATAGATGAAGATGAGGCGGCCTCCGGCAGCCTCCGGGCCCGAGGTCTGGAGGTCTGAGACCGGGGGACCCACCTGCCGGGGGTCTGAGACCCGGTCCGGACCGGATTCCTAGCAGCCGGTCTGGAAGCTGTTCCAGGCATCGTACGATGATCCCGAAATGTGACAGTATATGATGGTAAGTTGGTCCTTTTTCCCGCGAGGGCCGGTAGTGTATAGACACCCCGTGAAAACACCGGAGGATGCCATTCCTAAGGGCACCTTGCACGATTTTGTTGGTTTACCCAAACATCCCGTCCCAACGCTGCCAACCAGTCTGCAGCCTCTCCTTGACAAAATTACTGGGCTTGAAGCTTCTCCCGTTCTAAGAGAAGGAATGGGGAGAGACAGAGAGGCTTTATGTATCCGAGTCGCATTTAGTAGCTGTAAATAAACTTCTCCTAGTCCATAGCCTGAGGTATATGAAGGGCATGCGTGGGACTAATGAAACGACCGTGGGGGACTTGGAAGAAAAACAACACCCAAAATAGCTAGCTATTCCTGACAACAGCAACGCCGGTGGGATCTGTCAAGCCGGCCTTGAGGAGGCCGGCTGCGGCAGCTAGCAGCTTGACCACTTATTTGACAGACAGACCCAAAGGCTAGCTATAGCAAAGAAAAGCTTCTATTGAGACAGCTTATCCGGTCAGATCCTAGGTGCGGCTTTTGGCAAGGCATCAGAGGTTGGTTGCAGCCTAGGATCTAAGGGGCTGTTGGAAGGTGCAAGACACAGCAGATCGGGCTCGCGGACTTAGGTCAAGAGAAAAGACAGAGGGCAATTTTAGAATAGCTGTATGACTAGGAAAAATGAAGACGCCAAAGAAAGAAAAGGCCTGCTTGATCAGACTGACAGGGATGTCTCGTCCCTTCCAACTGTCTCTGTGTGAAGGTGCTCGTGATGTTGAATCTAGATCTGAGACGTCCCTTGATATACCTTCCTTGGTGTTGAACCCGCGGGCCAATCCAAAGGACCCCGCTTCACTAATTCGACTGAATGCGCGTGCCAAGTCTATGCTTGTCACATGTATCAGGATATCGGGATATCGGATTTCTGCGGTTGTGACGGAAGTGAAGCTTTCCTTCTGTCATCATAGGCGTCCATCGCCACTTGCCTCGTCACCGGCCTCATCATCAGATAAGCCCTAGGCCTAGCTTTTCCTTGATTTTATCTATAGCTAGTTGAAGCCAAAGACTCCGAAGGATCCGGAGCCTCTCGGCTGTCCGAGGTCATCCGAGGTCATCATCAGTCTCTTCATCTATAAGACTGACCCAAAGACCCTCTTTTAGATAGGAAGAATATCAAGAGCTTCTCGCACACATGATCATTTCCATCTGCTAGATGCAACAATGCTTCATCTTTCTTTAACGAATCCCTTCAGGCTCACCACTGTTTGAAGACGCCCAAAGGATCAGGTTGTCACAAAGGAGTTGCATGATGAGGATGCTGTCGCCATCAGGCTCCTTGGTCAGTGCATCGAGCTCGGCTTTGGCATCATCAAAAGCATGCTTCGCAAGACGCCGGGCACGATCGCGTGAATTCAGAATTTTGTAGTAGAAGACAGAGAAGTTGAGAGCCAAGCCCAGCCGCAATGGGTGAGTGGCCGTGAACTCTGTCTGAGCAACATCGGCAGCAATCTAAGAAGCAGACGAAAATCTCTGATCAGTACACCTTGGCTGATTGAATTCTGAACCAACAGATTTGGAACCCACCTTGTAGGCCTTATACGCAGAGGTAACTGCAAGATTGTGCTTCTCACCCGACACGAACTCGGTCAGGTAACGGCTGTAGTCACCCTTCCTAAAAATATGAGGAGTCAGTCCAAGTGTTCCTAGAAGGGGAGACCAGTAAAATAGGCATACATCTTGTAATATATAACCGTCGACTCGCCAGTACTGGCATTGGGAATCAGGCTCCCGTCTAGCAGATCCAAGACGTCCCGGCAGATCTTCTCGAGCTCATTCTCGATTTTAATGCGGTATCCACGTATAGTAGCAATGTGCTTCTCATTACCCCTTAACTCGTTTTGCTCGATCGAGGAGATAGTGCGCCAGCTGGCACGGCGGGTGCCGAACACGTTGTTAAAAGCAGTGGTAAGAAGGTTTCGCTCATCGACACTCAGCTCAGCACCCGTCTTGACGACTTCTTTCAGAAGGGGGACCATATCATCGTAGCGCTCAGCCTGGCCACAGAGGCGAGCGAGGAAAATCTGGCTACAGCCATGAAATCAGTGTTATGGGCCTGGAGAGACCGATCGAGCGGAGAGACAAACTTCTTACGCTGCATGCTGGGTGTATGGTTTGGTGTATTGCGGCGATATGGTAGGGCTCTACAAAAAGAATCGTACTTCAGACTAGAACTGTGTCAGATAATCAAAGGAAAATGCGCTGCTAGGATGGGAGAAAACGAGGTAATAACGCAGCGACAACAGTGACAGGAAGGAGCGCGTGGAGGGGGCAATTCAAGAGGGTTTTTTTTGTGAACTTCCAAGTGTGGTGTATCCGTTTCGAGTTATCGAGCAGAGAGGAGCGGTATAAATGGTGGTTAGGAGCCTACAGCATGCCGTGGTCGGGCAAATTTAGTGGGTTGCGCACCAAGCCGCTGACTGAACGTTGACGTTGGTCCTACCGGCACGCTCAGGCCCACGCTTTGTTGCACCTTGAAAGGTGGCAGTGGACCTGCGTCTTCCTCTTCCAATTCGCCATGACCATGTCATCCTCCTCCTTCTCCTCGTCGGGCATGTGGCTGGTTGACAGCTCCCTTTCTCCCACCGCCAGTGTCTTAGGCCCATGCATACCGGCCCGGACGCGGGGTCGAAGGTCGAAGGTCCACCATGAAGTAGGCTCGACACTCACAAAACACCATTCAACACACGAGAGACGTGCAGAACACCAATATATCGGCTTGAATACACTTGATCAGGAAATGAGGGCTTTACATAGACGTCTGTATGCTTTAGAGACGATGCGCAGCATTCTCATCTGCATTGGATGATTACCAGGAATTGATCGGACCGGATCAGCCAACCAATAGGACGCATATACATACAGCTCGTAGCAGAAGCGCAAAGTACAACCTGAAGTCAAATTAATGGGTGGAAAAATTGAGAAAGAACGGTTCCCTTCAGCTTAGGGTGGCAAATCCCTGAAGCCGATCATTATTGTTCGCTTAATCTCTATTGTCGTAGTTGCTGAGCGTCGGTGTCGGTGGCTAAGCAAGTCACGACTGCATCGGTGGCTTAGCCCCTTTGGACCATCCAAACGGGCCCGTGCACGCTTCTTGTCCCTTCAATCCGAACCCTTGCCGGTTGCTGAGCAATCCGCCACACCATTGCTGAGTGAATACACGAAACGCGTCTCACGTCATGACTCCGTTGATGCAATGCCTCTTTCGCAATAACGCCTGAAGCAGCGCAGGCTGCGTCTCTAAAAATCCATGTCGCAACACACGATCAACGCGGACAACAGCAACTTCGTCCTCTCGTGGCTCGACCAAGTCGCATCGACATCCTCTTTCCGCTCGGCCAAGCGACGTCGCCCTCTCGAGGAGGTGCCCTCGTCTCGCCTGAACTATCACGGAAAAGCCATCATGAGCTCAGAAAAGCAGCCTTTGCCCCGGCGTCAGAGTCCTCGTCGTAAGGATGAACCAGACACTACTCCCAACACCGCTCTCCCGCTCTGTTCGTTGACCAGCCAACCAATCCCCATCTTGCCGCCTCCAAGTCTCCCCTCCGAGTCCCAGTCCTCCGCAACCGGATCTGTCTCTCCCGCTCGTACGCTGCGTGGTAGACAAGCTACGCAGTCCGGATCGACGATTGCGACATCAACAAGTAGTCCCTCTCGCCGCCGTTTTAAGGACATGGTGGCCCTCGAGCTGGCAAATCGTCCGGTGCAATACCGTCGCCTGGGTCTTAACACAGTGTAAGATTGCCACCGTCGCTGCCGTTCAGGCGGAGTACTCTCCAATCGTCCTCGACGTGGAAGGTCCCGAAGGAACCAACCTACTTGACACGTGCCGTGAATTAGGCGTTTCCATCGTCGCGTACTCTCCTCTTGGGTGAGGTTTGCTCATCGAGGCATTTTCCAACAACGAAGTCGGGTTAGATAAGAAGGATATGCGGCCGGCTTTTTTTCCCTTGCTTTCAGGAACAGAACCGAGAAGCCAATATCAAGCTTGTCAAAGATTTCAAGGCTCTTGCTGACAAGAAGGGCTGCACTATATCGCAACTTTCCCTGGCGTGGCTCTTGAAACAGGGCGAGGAGATCATTCCAATCCCTGGCACTAGGAAGATCGAGTACTTAGAAGACAACTGGGCTTCTTTGAGCTTGCAGCTGACTGACGAGGAGGATGCTGAGGTTAGAAAGCTGATGGAAACCTCTCACATGATTGGCAATCGGCTTCCAGCAACCCATGCGACAGACCTTGTCGACACCAAGGAGGAAAGCTGATCAAAATCCGCAGGTCTCTTGCTCGGTCACATTCTTTGTGGAAACTAGCTAGCTAATGGCCACGAATTTTTATGCCTGAATAGAGAAAAGGATTAAGGTATCAACTCATTATGAACGAACTGTCCAAGCTCTCGCTGCAATCTCCCTCATGATCTCCTAACATGTGACCTGCGTTCATATCCGTCTGGTCACGCCCATCACAAGATCCGTGAAGATCCCAAGCCATGGAGGAATCAGGGACGCCATCTGACCCTACAAAGGCATCAATCATCATTCCATCCCACACCGACTCCAATATGTTGGATGGGTCTTCTCCGGGACTCACTGCCGTGCCGAGTCCGCTCTGCCCGTTCTCGTCGCCCAAATTGCCATTTGAGACTAGACATGAATCCGTGAAATGGTAATGTTCAAAATCATCAGGCGATGATGGAGTCCCGATTCCAAAGTTCGGGGCCCGGTCCCGTGGGTCAGGCATTGTGGTGCGCTGGCTTTTGTAAGCGATGCCAGAAGCAGGCACGCCAACGCTCGCCGAGGAGGATGATTTCGTCGATTGGTTGAAGAGTCCGCGTAGATACTTGGAGAACTCTTGCCCATCCGCGGGCTTACCTGTGCTTAGACTCCAGTCGATTGCGAGGGATACGAGCAGGTCCCAATCTGGACTTTCACTCCGTGGTGGCCGTGAGGCTTTCGAGCTTGAAATCTCGACATGGATTTGTATGTGGTCAATGATGCTCCGAACGCTCCTTACGACATCCTCGACCCCGTCGTATTGCTCATGAAACACCTTCATGGCTTTCATAAGAGCCATAAGCTGGCAATACTTAGACTTGCTACGCTCTTGTTGTTCTACCGAATTTCCAACCTTGGCTCTAGGGAACTGTGCATCGAATATGTGAACCGCCAGTGGGAATGCTGCGTAGGCGACTCTGTGACACGGTCAATCAATTGTCGATAGGCCAACGGGCGTATTTGTCTTACGTGGTAATAGGAAGCCACCGCGCAACGTGAAGCTGGTTGAGTCTATCGAGTAGGTCCGTGATGCAAGATATAGAACGCTGAACCTCTTGTCGCATTTGCGCTATCTTGTTTTTCTGCCGCAATTTGAAACCGCAACAGTTTTGAGATCATGATGGCACAGGGAAATCATGGCTCCGCTAGGCTTCACATGTTAGATAATGTCCCTCGGGTGGAATGTGTCGACTTACTGATAGTATATGTGCATCAACGCTGTACGCATGGTTACCGATTTATGCTCGACAAGCTTCTGCTGCCTTATTCTTTCCGTCAGGGCTCCTAATAGTGCAGACCATTTAGACTATTAGTGCAGACTGCAGATCAGGGCAGGGAATACGGACGCCCGGTGTGGACGCTAAGTACGCTAGGTTGTTGGCATGGTGTTACAAAACCAGGGTACCCATGATTGTTGCTGTGCCAACCACTTTGTTTTGGATATTTCTGATCAATTCACTGGTGCGATCCGGATCAACAAGGCTCGTTTCAAGGGGCGCATCATCCTAGTCGTCAATCCACGAACGCCCGTCGTGGATTGATTATTGATCTTGGATTGTAGTCTGCACTAATAGTGTAAATGGTCTGCACTATTAGGAGCCCTGCAAGTTTCCGTAGTCGACCGTTCGGTGTGCCAATGCAGCAAATCCTCTTTGTGCTTCCTCACAGAAGTCACGCTGGCCTGCATTTCCCGGGCAGTATCAGCAACAGGCTTAACGGGATATAATAGAAGCAGAATGTCAGTCAATAGGACGGAAAATCTCAGAAGCCGCTTCGTCACCCTTGCCAGCGCTGTTCTCGTTTCTGCATCGTACACGCTTGAGCGCAGTAATTCGGCCTGAATCTCCGCAGCCCCAAGCTCTAAATTTTTGTCAAAGTCAAAATGAGCCGGGGTTATTGTTATGCTGCGTCGCAATCCCAGTGGCAAAATCCGATCTCTCATAATGCAACACCACCAGAGTCGTCGTAGGACATCACGGTCGTCAGTCTTTTGCGGGGGAAAGTTCGATACGTCTGAGTGGTAGTCCGCCTTGACCGCCCTTGCGTTTTCGATTGCAATCATTAGCCAAGAAGTGTTGGGTTTCGAGTCTGCTTTCATAGGAGGCGTCCAAAACGTGAGTAACAGTGCGGCTTGGGCGGTTTTTAGATGGCATGGCTCTATGCCAAAGTCGTAAAAAAGCTGTCGGTGTGAGTAGGGATACTGAAGGCGGAGTGTGATGCCTTACTTTGGCCTTTCTATAAAACGAGGCCCTCGCGCTCCGAACATTACTGTAGCCCAATTCTTTGAGAGAATCCAATGACAAGAACTATTTTTCCAGCGTCAGTTATGCGTGTTACAGCTAGGTCGAGGGTTAACCGACATTGCAAGACGCGAAAAGCATCGCCTGCATCAGCAGGAGACATGTCTTGTTAGATTCATCCGGCGTTGGGCTGTAATACGCTTCCCAGAAGTCTCCCTCGCTCAGCATCGGCAACATTGGATGCACGTGCAGAAAATATTGCCGAACAGCTTGGTTCAAGATTGATCGTGTAGGAAGGCGAAAACATTCCTCTGCATCAAGAAATCGAACATCTCGCGCAGGCACGTAGAACATGTTGCTGACTGCCATGAAGGGGTATGAGCAGTACACAACCGTGTTCGATGGCTCGAGACGATTATCGGAGCTTAGTTTGACGAAAAAGGAAGAGAGCATGTCGGTGGCAGTACGATCAACTAGGGAGCGGTTAGTTGCTGCCTCATTTATCATAGTACAGTCGAGGGCGAATGGCTTACCCACAGGTGTCGCCTCAGATGAACCACGTGGTGTTCCCGACGATTCAGCGCCGATATTTCCTTCCGTCGTAGTGTCATCTTGGTCTGCGAGAATGATGGGACTTGGGCTGTTGTGGTCGGAGCGAGTACAGGAATCGTGTTCCTCAGGCTGGGTGTCAAGGTCGGTAATCGTCTCGATACTTGGCTCTGGGGCTCGGGTGGGTTTGCGTCTCGGCCTATTCGGTTGGGGACATGCCTGGAATCTGCTATGTCCACTTAACAACCTCACTCTACAAATTAAAGATGTAACTAAATCTCAGCAGAGGGGGGTCAGTTTAACTCACCTGCGTGACGCTCTCTTCGTGACAACACATTCCTGCTCGTCTAGATTGCAGTTCATGCATGGCTTTCCGTTCTTAGACACATCGCATCGAACCTTCCTAGATCTGCAGTAAAGGCAGGCTTGTGGCGATCGATGGACGGGCTTTATTTCCAACCCCGATCGACTCGTCTGGAACACAAGGGATGAAGATGCTGGCGGCTCCATTGCGATGTACGGAAGGTGTTGCTCAACGAGGTGCAGAATGCTGAAGGCATAAATAAAGAGTAGTGCTATTTGGGCGGTATGGTATTGCTATTCGGGCGGTACACGTGACCCCTCACCTGACCCCTTACGTGGAAAACCACTGGACCCGCTTTTTCTGCGCGCTAGTCACGTAACTTCGTCCCAATTTTCAACCGCCTACAGCAGTCACAGCGGCCTAAGCCTGCTGCAGCTGCAGCCGCTACAGCGGTCACAGCGCCCCAAGCCCACTGTAATTGCAGCCGCTACAGCAGTCACAGCGGCCTAAGCCTGCTGCAACTACAGCTGCTACAGGGGCCACAGTGCTCCACGCCCCTGTCACATCGCAACTACAGCTTCAAAGCATGCCCCTTCCGCCGCCCTTCCGCCGTCTCCGCTGCTGTCGATATAAAGTTCCTAATCACATACAATTTCTATGACCTGAAGAACAGCAGTAAGACAGGTGAGGGGATGAGGGCCGGGTGTAAAGGGGGCTACAGCTTGGGGCTGTGACTGCTGGCGCAGCAGCAGTTACAGCAGGCTGCGGCTCTGTGACTGCTAGAATAGCTGCAGTTATAGTGGGTTGCAGCGCTATGACCGCTGTAACAGTTGCAATTACAGCGGGCTTGGGGCTGTGACCGCTGTAGCGGCTGCAATCACAGCGCGCTGTGGCGCTGCGGCGCCGTGACTGTTGGGCGGAAGTTACGTGGCTAGCGTGCAGAAAAAGTGGGGGAAATGGTTAAACTCCGGAAGATCTTACCTGCAATAGCAGTCACGTGTTAGTAGAAAAGTGGGTCTACAGCCCGAATAGCAATACCATACCGCCCAAATAGCACTACTCTTATTATATTTAAAAAATTAAATAAATTAATTAAAAGTTTAAGAAAAATAGTATATTATGACTTTTTCAGTTAAATACCTAAAATTAATTTCTTAAAAATATTATAGCTATATAGCCTATTTTAGGAAATCTACTTTTGTTGGATCTACTGTAATTAGCTTTTGCAACACCCCTATTGGCTTGTGTCATCGTGCACAGACCATGGAGGCGCACAACGGGATATTTCCTTCCGCGTTGGCCCTTCTCGTTCCATTCTGGCGTTGCCTCTGAACAGTTAGTGACCTCGTACGGGAAGGTTGAGGATACAGGAGACATATGAGACTCCAAGGTCGAAATGGTCTTCTGACCGTGAGAACACTGGCACCGATAGAAAGCTCCTGACGGGAGATGTCTAAATGGACCAGTTTTTGTTTGCATTACTTCCAATCTACGGAAAATCAGCATGTGTTGAAGTTCGTGGGAGTTTTTGCAAGACGGGCCTACCCTATACCTCAGTGCTAGAAAGATACCAGGTTCTCACGTATTCCCCCACACTTGCGCAAGTACCCCCTAAACGGCACTAGTCGCATTTCATGGTCACGAGGATTTGCTTATCAACCTCTCCCACGCTGGATATAGTCCTCATGGGACTTGGGAAATGGTCTCATTCAATAAATTACCCTTGGAATTTTAGAAAGCAGTCGTTTATGGGATGCAGGGAAGCATGATTGCTGCAGTTGCACGATACCTATTCTGACGTGTAAGTCTCGGCGGTTCAGATGTATACACTAACATATCTTAGCACATCCACCTAGCATGGGCATTCAAGACCCCAAATCAAGCTCGATCGCGTCAGGTAGCGTCAGGGGTCGGTTGACGCGTTCAAGAAATGACACTAAAACGAGCCCCGCGTGAGTTTCAGCGAACCGCGTCACTCGTTCGACCGAATCGATCGATTTCGATCGAACGTTTGGGCCCGTTCGATTCGATGGCGAATATAATGTGGCCTGTTCGATTGAATGAAAAACGCCACATTCGATTCGACGCAATCGAATATCGAATGAGACCTTCCACCTTCGATTCGATGCGAATCGAACGGGCCTGTGGCAGATTCGACATCGAATTGAACGCCAAGAAATTCGATTCGATATTCGTAAGACTTGGCATCGAATTAATCTATCAATTCGATTCCCGTTCGTAAGATGTCCATCCCTGGTGTTGGAGAAGTGACATGGATGATAGTGTTGCATAGGCAGCCACAGGAAACGGTGTCACGATTACGCATGAATCGTCAGAACAGTGTTACAGGTCTGTTGCAGGGTCAGCAGATCTAGTATCATAGCCTCGCCTCTTTACCTATAAGAAGGAGGAGAGCAAGAAGACAATCATTCCGATCATCATTAGATTATGAGTTACCTACTGAGAGCGCGCTGTCCGACAGTCTGCTGCCTCGACTTTCAATATTGAATTATGAGTTCATCTTAAAAAATTATCACTGATACCCTTAGTCGATCACAGACTAGAGCATCACCCGATGATCTGCCCTTCGAATCATCTAGCTTCGACGTCATTTTCCGCACCACTCATCCAGAGAAGGCCAAACTAGGCCCATCTGGAAAACGAAAGACGTCTGGTCGTGTTATGTATGAATGCCTTCATTGTCCCCCAGATAGCCCATGGTCAAATGGAAAGCGTGGCAATGCTATTTACCACGCGAAAAGGAAACATGCCTCTATTCTTCAGACTGAGGCCAGTACCGTAGACGAGCACGACTCAGATATTATTACCCGGCCATCAAAGCAGCCTCGGATGGACAGTTTTTTTCACAGTCGGCCATCGGATACCACTTTACGCCGCGTCTTTAATCGACAGCAATACATAGAATCGATTGTCGGTCTTCTCACACGCCGTCGTTTACCATTCTCCGCGGTGAAATGGGATGAGATGCAGGATATCATATTGGCATGCAATCCGGCTATTGAGGATCTTCTCCTCACGTCCCGCGACGCAGCTATGCGTCATATTACCACTACTTTCGACTTATACCGATCTCAATTGAAAGCAAAGCTTCAGGCGTCCGTATCGAAGATCCATCTCTCGACCGATCTCTGGACATCGCCTCATCGGCATGGCATTTTAGCAGTATGCGCTAGATGGGTTGATAATGGCTATCACCTTCAAAAGGCCCTGCTAGCTATGCCTGAATGTCGATACAGCCACAGTGGCGAGCGCCAAGCAACTCTAATGGCGGAAGCAATCGAAGAATACGGTATTGCGAAGCAAATCGGCTATCATACCGGCGATAATGCTACTTCAAACGATACCTGTTTAAAGCATCTCTCTCAAATGCTACAGGATAAATACAGTGTATGTTATTTAGAACGTTGATTAATAGGTAGTTGGTTAACTGAGTCTAGATATCTTTCCATCCCAACCAGCGTCGAATCCGATGCATCGCTCATATCATAAATCTTTTCCTTCAAGCCTTTCTCCTTGCGTCCTCGAAAGAAGCTTTACGCGCAGCACTTGCCGCTGCTAGCGACGTAACCGGCGCCGAGATGTACGAATAATTCTACTTCACACTATATGATATATCCGCCAATGAGCCAGCATCGCGGTCTGAAGCTTCGGGACAGCAAGAACAGTCTTTCAGTAAGATATGGAAGGGAAAGGCTAAAAGGGCCGCTCGGAAGCCCCCCGATTTCAAGGATGACAAATTCAGAGGCTGGCAAACCATCCCGGCGATGCGTAAACTACATAATATTGCGGTCTGGCTTCGAAATTCATCTATCCACAGTGATCTATGGGAGGATCGAGTAGGCTTGCGGCTTGGGATCGATAACGACACCCGATGGAACTCTTGGTATAAGCTGATCGATAATCTTATCCGAAGACAATCACAGATCAAGCAATTCTTGCTTGATTACGATAAGGAGATCAACGATAATATCCTCAACTCATCAGATTGGGATTACCTTGAAAAAACACATAGATTTCTCCACCCATTCGCGTCGGCAACTTTATGGGCTGAGGGTAAGAATTCTACATTGTCACAAATATTGACAATTATGGATGGTTTATTACGCCACTATGAAAAGAACAAGGTTTGCTGTCTCTTGATAGACTCAAAACTCAAACTTGGCTAATTATCCAATCTAGGAACATTACTCGAAGCCAGAGATGCTTGATCGCCGCATCCTTCATTCAATTGAGATGGGCTGGTTCATTCTCGACAAGTATTATACTATGACCGAAGATGCGCCTGTTTACGCTGCCGCCCTCCTTCTTGATCCTTCAAAGCGAATCAGGTACATTGAGCGTCACTGGCCAGAGTCATGGCACGAGAACGCCATTGCTGGTGTCCGTACAATTTGGGAAGAAGAGTACAAAGCTCAGCCTGAGACTGGACCTGCAGGGTCGGTTGATGAGGTATCTGCTTCGCAAAAGCGGCAGCCGAACGAGTGGGACGCTTTACTTGAAGAGTTGGAAGTCCGTGAGGATCTGGGTGATAGTATGGACGATCTTGAAGACTTTATCAAGGCAACACCCATCAAAATAAGTGGATCACCACTTCAATGGTGGTGTCATAAGGATCAGCGGAAGACTTATCCTCAGCTAAGTCGAATGGCTATTGATATCCTCTCGATCGCGCCTGAATCAGCTGATCCGGAATCTGCTTTCTCTGGTGGTCGACGTACTCTCTCCTGGGATAGAGAACGAATGACTTGCGAGAATCTTGAGAAGGTTGAATGTGTAGGTAACTGGCTGCGTGAAGGGCATATCCAGAAGGCTGTTCATGGTGGTATGGGTGTAATTACTGATACGGGTTTTGATAGTGGCGGCGATGAAGACTCTGATGTTAATTTTGATTGATTTGCGGATGTCTGACAGTATAGGTGCTAAAGTACTATAGTGATATCAATCGTGCTAAAGTGCTAGGGTGATATTCTAGCACACTTTTTGCGAATATGTGAATATGAATATGAATATCACTTTAGCGCGTGATATCACAATACGCAAGTATGGATATTCTGGTAATTAGGAGATAGAGGCGAAATTTTCCGGGAGCCTAGCAACTAATTCCCCAAGCGCCTTCCGATGATCAAGTCCTCGGTGGGTAGTCTACACCCAGAATCACACAAGGTTCCTGCTTTCATTTTTAGAAATGCTCATGAGTTCCCTGCGACATAAGAGTCGATGTGTCAATCATATAATTGGAGAGTTGGTCAACTATCCAATCCGTACTCAGTGGCCCCTGGGGTTCGATCGTTGGCGGCGGTAGTAGTGCAGGAGGTGGGCTGGACTGAGGTACAATCTTCTGCAGTTTAGAAACAACCGGAGAAATTTCATACGGCAGACCCAGCTGAAACAGGGCTCGTTCACGCTCTCGCCATGCCTTGAGAATGGAGAGTCCGACCTTGACGTTGTCCTTTTTCGACATATTCCACAGTTCTGGTTGAACGTGGTAAATACGATCCATCAAAATCCACGCGCGATCGACCAATCCTCCGAGGGTTCGATTTTGAAGCTGACCAGCAATGAATAGAACAGCATCAATCTCGAAATGGAGCTTCAACAACCATATGAAGTTGGTGTCTTTCATCTCATCACATATGTTGGAATGATTCTCAAAGTGTATGAGACATATTCTAAACACGTTGTCCTCGGCGTTGAAGATCTCGGTCCCCCATTCGGGTATTTCGTGTACTGGTGTTAGGATGGATAGTAGCTCGGCTGTGATCAAGATTCGAACCCTACTCGCTAGCAGATGTAAAGGGCCAACTGACGTGTCGATGTACTTTTGTTCAAGAGCCGTAAGTTTTGCGTCGACGATTTGAACCAGAGTCTGGTACGTGATTGACGCCATTGGTGTTTGTTTTGTCCCATTGACATGGCCGAGAGTCAGTGTCTGGAAGTCGATGCGATTCTCAATCACGAACTGACACAGTTCGCAGAACATCAGATAAAATCCCATTTCGGTCGGACCGTCGCGGGGGCGGACCGGCTCCATGAAATTTGGGAAGAGATCGGCGTCGTTGACGTTGTGTGGAAACTTCGTGTCCCAATTCCAGGTCAGCAAGGGTGCATGAAAGCCCGATGCTATGGCGTATTTCGTGTCAGACATGAGTATTTGCCACCAAACCCGCCTACGCATCTCTGCTTCAAACGGCGGGAGGTTCAAGGCTTCGCCGTCCTTGTGTAGTCCTAATTTCTGGGCCATTCTGATTAAGATACCGCTCAGAATCCACGTTTCATGACGGCTGGTATATCCGTGAAGAGACAACTATTTCGTGCATTAGCTCACTCGGTTCTGATCTGAAACAAGGGACATCGGATAAGCTCTACCAGATATAGGACTACTGCTTGCAAGGTCATCAAGTCATATTTTTCCATGAATTTCGCTCGCATAAACGCAGCCTTTGCCCCCGAAGCAAATCTCAGAAGCGCTTTTTCTTTGGGCATTTTAAACACTTGAGCAGATTCCTCTTCCGTCAAGGAGATAGTGGCCACGGAATAGATGGAGAATAGCAGTGCCTGGGCGTTCTGGGGGATGCTGGTGTGGTCAGTCGAGGCTTCCACCACGAGAGGCTGTAGACTTGGAGCATGTATGAGCTTGGTGAGCGGATTGACTCTCTCCAGAAAGATCTGCCAGAGCTTGAAGATCTGCACAGGTGTTGGGGTGACATCCTCAGTGGTGGTGGCGGTGGCATCGCCAAATGAGACTTGGATCTCTTCTCGAGGAGGAGTCATGTCAGAATCCGTCGCGCTTCGTTCTTCGTCATCTAGAAGCTGATGGATAGTTTGAAGCTATAGATGAGATGAGTGAATCAGGTGAGAAATGGAATGATGTTAAGGATGGAGGCAATGTCATTCTGTAGGATACAGAATCTTGCGCATGACGAGACACTTACCTGGTTCTGGATTGTTGCCCAAGGGAAGTTGTCGACATACTTGACGCTACCATTCTCAACTATGACCTTACCCTGGGGCATCCAAATGGGGTTAAGTTCTCTTTCTCTTTCATCATCCGCAAATGGGGTTAATTGTTGAGACGGGCTCTGAGATGCATCCAACATGGAGGCGGCGTAGTCGGTAGAACGAGACCTGGAAGCAGCAGCCGGCTCAATTGTACTGGATGAGAGCTCATGTTGCTTCAGCAAGGCCTCACACCTTGCTAGCCTCTCTCGCAAATCTCGATTCGTCCGCCTGCTTTTACGTGCAGGGGCTGGAGTGGAGGGAGTACATGTGGCGCCGACCTGCATATCTTAGACCTGAAGTATTCTCATATCCTTTAGCTGGTGCTAACCTTGTCACAGTTCGAGCAGGGCGCGCCTTTATCGCATTTGATCTTCCGCTGCTGACAGAGAACACACGACAGGATCCTTGGAGATCTGGAGTTCACAGGGCCGTCGCCATTGAGTGGAGACGCTGTGGCGGAAGGGAGGCTCTGCATCTTGGCGGCACCCCTCCTCGCACCAAGGAGTGTGAAATCAGGGCTTTCAAATAGTAGGACAAGGGGCCGACGAGGAATAGACCGTCTTTACTGTGTTTCGGCTGCGGTGTTACTGCGTAGTAGGGGTGGGACAGGACAGATACGGTAGGAGATGTAGAGGGAAGGATATTGGGGGAAGCGCGGCTCGTTGGATCTTTTCTGCCCGTTTGACGGGGAGCATAAGAGCCCGAACTCCCGATTGGCGCGCGGGGTTTTTCGCTGCAGCTAATTCGCTCCTTGTGAGGTTATCATCCAAGCGTTGAGGATCCCTGCCAAGACACGCCGTATTTTTACCATGAGCGCTCCCGGCCATTCCGAGAATCGTCAAGATTGGCTGCACATCCAGGGGAAGTTCATGCGACATTCCCTAAATGCGATTGCGAATGCTATCAATCTGGCTTTTCATGCGACACAGCCACGCTTCATCCTCTGCGATCCGTGCTGCCTCGGCCATTCATGGCGTCTGTGCAATCGTATAGCCGTTAGAGTCGGAGCGATCTCGCCTGTCTCGTAGCCTTGCCAAGGCCTGCTTCGGTTTCTTTAGACATCAATTAGAATTTTGTTCCACGTTGGACCACTTCAAAGTCCCCTCCCCAAGACGCCACTTCGCTCTGACTGGTCTTCCAATTGGGCCGATGGGGAAATAATAACGAGTCTTCATGGCCCTATGGTCCTTCTCGAGATCGCTAGTCGGTCTTTTATGAGTTGTAAAATTGAAGATTTAGTTGACTGTAACTTGTTGAGCAATTTCTATGGGTCGACTTCTTTCTTCAATTGAATATGCCCATGATGGAGAGATGGCGTCTCGTGATCAGTGAAGGCAGGAGGATAATCATGGATAACAACATAAACAGTGAAAGGAGGTGACGTACTGATGATTGAAGAAGCATTACTCATCAGCACCTGACGTGTAACCGAATCACTATCGATTTATGGGACTCGGAGAGTGCTTCCAGAGCCTCAGATGGGGTTACAGGGCCTTTTAGTATTAGTGTACCCAAACCCATTCCCAGTGGATACCTCGAACCGAGCTGCGACACTGCGCAGCTGTTTCTGATAAAACCACCAGCCCACCATCGAACTTCAACACCATGCCCCGGAAGCCCGAAAGACAAGCTTTCGATACTAATCCAATTTTCAAGGGCATGTCATTCGATACACCTGCATCAATGTATGATCAGATGACGGTTCGGGGCTCCGCCAAGGCAAATTATCAGGCACTATATGCCAACCCCGTTACGAATCAGCGGTGAAACACCCCGCATCTGCTTCGCAAACCACGCCCGGGGACAGTTAGCGATATCCACGCAAGGCAAATCTCCCGGTCATATTCTCTCTCCCAATAATACAAGAGCTAGAACGCTTCTACAGTACATGGTCACATTTGGATGATTCTCAGTTTTAATCGGAAGATTATGGGCCCACAAGCGATACGCCAAGCACAGAGGATGGTCTCGTGGACGCGGATGCACTATGGGCCGAGGCATAATGGTACGATTGAGGCTTGTGCTTTCGCCCTTTTCCATAGAAATATGACATTTTGTTCTCTGAGTCCGAGTTCAAGTCCCTATTCTACGAGTCCTTTTGATTGCCTCCCGCCACGGATACGGGCGCCTCATAGTCTACCTTTTCCGACATTCAGGAGAATCGCTAACATGGATGCTCTGAGGCAACTACCGGCATCAATCAATCTCGGGAATACTCTTGGCACTGTTGCCGCTCTCAGCCTAATCTACGCTATCGTCCGGCGGAAGCAAAGAGGTTTCTCAGACTCATCTCAATGGGACTGGTCAAAGGAGATTGTCCTCGTCACGGGAGGAAGCAATGGCATCGGTGAGCTTGTTGTTGGGAAGCTTGCTGGAAAGGGCATCAAGGTTGTTTCTGTCGATCTCTATCCCCCGAAAATTCCCGTTCCAGACAATGTTTCCTTCTATCAGCTTGATGTCACATCTCCCGACGAAATTCGTCGAGTATCCGAATCCATACGCCGTGATGTAGGGGAGCCCACGGTATTGATCAACAATGCTGGCATCGCATCAATGAAACCGATCCTGGAAGAGACGGACCTAGAAATCCGCCGCACTTTTGATGTCAATATTGTTGCCCACTTATTCCTTGTTAGGGAGTTCTTGCCATGGATGATCAGCCAGAATCATGGACATATCACCACCATTGCGAGCATGGCCAGTTTTGTGACTGTCGCATATAATGTCGACTACTGTTGTTCAAAGGCTGCTGCCTTGGCGTTTCATGAAGGGCTCGCGCAGGAGCTGAAGCATAATTATCACGCTGGCAACATCAATACCAGGTAACAAGTCAGCATCCCCAGTAACGTAAATGCTAATCATTCTTCATAGTGTTGTTCGACCGATGTGGATTCGCACCGCCATGTTCGACTCAGCATTGAAGAAAAAGGCATTCACAGACACACTCCTACAACCAAATGATGTTGCCGATGTAATTACGCGGTAAGTGCTTGGAGGCAAGAGCGGCTAGGTGTTCTTACTAGGATATTATAGCTTTGGGTCTGGATTTCGTGGTCTCCCAACTTGGGTGCAGGAACGATTTAGAGACGCACGAGCGCATTTATTCAGTGGCAATTAAGGGAATTGAGTGGTTCTAATATGGGCCACCCTCTTGTGGCAAGCACAATGGGATAGAGTATTGCTATTGGCACATGGGTATAAATGCCTTCACCTCGGCCCGGCTAGACCAATATGCGGAGTATGCATGCATTTTCCCAGGCTCCAAATCCACTCACAAGCTGATACGTGCTGTTGATCTTCTTGATGCGATCCATGCTAAGAAAATCTTCGTACCCATTGACTTCGTCTCCGACATCATAGCTGATGTTGGTGTAGAACACCTCCATTTCGGCCAGCATAAAGAGGTCGCTATTCTCAAACGACACCGTATAATATTCCAACCACCATACAGTAAGGGAGGAATACGATTCACTTAGGAGTCATCTGGAGACTGAACAGAGTACGTAATCCTGTCTTCGTATTCATTGGCTACTATACTCATGATGGCATCGTAAGAAGAATCTCTTCATCCATACCTGGCCTCGACTCAGCACTGAGATTTCAGTTAGAAGCACAAGTATTTGGTGCATTTTCCTCTATTGGAGGCTTATCCCCACCTTATCCTAGTCAATGTCTAAGACAAAGGTCAGAATGACACCTACACTGCCAAGGTGTCCTATTGAAGATGTGTTCTTCACACCAGACTTTCCATACTAGTACATCTTCAGCTTAAAGCTGAGAAATAAGAACATCTGCCCAATTGTACCCCTCACATTATCTGCTTCTGGGTGCAGACGTGAATGCTCTTGAGAAGGCGGCAATAGCGTCCTGAGCACGGACCTCATGACTCCTCACACTCTCGGCTTCAGTAGTATTACCAAACATGCACTTCGCCAGCACGTTGTCGTTCTCATACTCCGAAGCCCGACGTGATTTAATTCCATGGCGTTCCTGTCTAGTTCTTGAAAGGCTTGATGGGTGTTTTCTTCGGTAGAATATGAGCCACGAACGCACTTGCATGGGAGGGGGGCTTACCCTTGGGAACAATTGGTTTGACTGATGGATGAATGTGCCGCTTCGTTAGTCATTGTTGTAGACTGGAATGTGGAATTAATAACGAGGAAGAATATGAGTTGATTAATTATGGTAATCAAATGTCTATCTTAATTTTTCAGGCGTGTCTTTTCAAGTATCATGTGTACGACTACGAACCTTTATCATATAACATATAGTCGGATCTGAATGACATAACGTACATGATAAGCGAGTGTCGCAGACAAGTGTGTCGCACTTAAAATTTCTTAGTGTTTACACCAAAATGAAAATAAATCCTTAAAAATTCGAATTGAGCCTAAAATAACTCATATTTTAGAATTAAATTTATTAATTTAAGTTTTATATAGATGAATTTTTATAGATTTTATATAATTTTTCTTAGTTAGATATTTTAAAAAAGCTTATTTACACTGTATATTTCTAGTTTTTTACAATTTTAAAGCTAAATAATTTTTATAAAAATCTTTAAAAAATACTATTATAGACGATTTTACGTTATTTACCTAGAAATACTTTTATTATTTTTCTATTATTTTTATAGGGCATTTTAGAAAATTTAAAGTTTAGCCTTTTAGCTGTACAGTATAAGTGCGACACTCACTTGTCTGCGACACTCGCTTATCATGTACGTTATTCAATCTTCGTGTAAAAATATCATAGAGCACACCAGCGCCCTAGGTGTCATTGCACGTACAGACAGGCATGCTTGAAAGATTGGGGCCAATGAAAGCGGCTTACCGGATGAGCGAGACCCATTCTCTGCATATCACCAACCAAAAGAGATGATGGAGTTGCAGCTAAGGGCTTACCCATGCAGCATGCAGCCGAATGTCCAATACATGAGCCTACTGAGCTGCGCCACTATGCACTGTAAGAATGGGCACAGCGGCGCCTTACATCAGTCTCAATGCACCAACATATCCCTCACCTCATTCTTTCGCTCTCTCCCCTCAATCGCGCTACCTTGAGTTCTGTTGGCGCCAATGTCGCTTTTTATAATACAATTGAGCTAGACTTCTACGTGTTATCATCCGCCATGGTCACTTTTGGCAGGTCTCCGTCTCCCGTCAGCCTCTGCTCGCCTGGCCCGGCCTTCTCGGTCAGGTGTTCAACGGAAGGGACGCGGGGAGGGTTTGATAGTCAAGTGGACTCTTCACTATCGGATTCTCGGCTGGGTAAGTGGCTAACCCACTGTCCCCAATTTTTGCATCACATTAACATTAAGTAAGGTCTTCAAAAGAAGTCGGTTCTCTACGACAAGAGCAGACTAAGATCAGTGCTCCTAATAGTGCGCACTATTAACTGGACTATTAGTTCACACTGCAGTGCAGACTATTAGTGCATGGACTACTAGTTCAGTTTACGTCTCTCGCTCTACACTGATGGTTCAGTGCAGGACTCTCACACTACACTGGTAGTTCAGTGTGACTCGATCAGACGGACCAGTAGTTCAGTGCTGGAGTCGCAGACTACCAGTCTCACTATTAGTGCGAGATGATTGTGCGCACGGGTCAGCGGTCATTGAGGCGAGCCTAATTGGGAAATTGAAGTGGGGGTCTAGATTTTGGCGCGTTTTCACGTCCATATAGGCTCACCAACTGTGCTGTTGCTCCACTGAAAACGCTGGATGACAGGCGGTCCAAGCGGTCCAGGCAGCCTAGCCCATTTGAACCGCCAATTCGGAGCACTGAGAGTATATACGGGGAACGGCCTCAAGTAGTCTTTGAATTTTACACTAATAGTGCAGACCATGATTTGCACTATGGTTTAGTGTGAAAGTGACAGACGAACTAACAGTGCAGTGTGGGCCTTGCAGGCACACTGGTAGTTTAGTGTGGTCGTTTCAACGCACTGGTGGTTTAGTGTCGCCCAGTCACACGCACTAAAGGAGCAGTTTGGGGTGTCCACACGCACTATTTACACTATTAGGAGCACTGACTAAGATATGGCCGTCGCCTACCGGTTGGCGCTAGCCGCGAGTCTTCCAGCAAGAGCCACAACGCGCGGGGAATCTCTGTATTAAGTCGCATAACTCTGAGCGTAACACTTCTCAACCAGATCATGTCAAGTCCCCCAGGGAATCTCCATCTCTCGCAACTTTCCAAAGATCACTCCAACATGCGGATACAAAGAATGGCCTTGATGAGAAAACGCATCAACAAATTCGGTTATCTACGTCTTTCCTTCCGTCGCGATCCAATCCGTCGACTGCTTCCCCGTTAGCGATTCTCTCCCACAACGCGGTCCTAGCCGAGAAGTCAATACCACTGGCCAAACACCAAAATCTGTTAACAAAATCAGGACGGAAGATCCAACTCCGAATTCAATGCCGAGTTTAGAGTCGCGGGGCCAGAAAATCGCATCGAGACGGAGAAAAAAGCACTCAGAGGACGCTCCACAGGAACCATCAGCAGAACTACATTCCACCCAAGACGGAGCAATCTCAGCCAGTCGGGACGATCTCCGGGCTAATTTTCTATCCAGACAATCGTCACACAGGCAGCCTGCATGGGGGTCCATCAGAGAAGAACCAGAATCTCGCCTCGCTTCGCATGTTGAAAAAGTCAATCTGAAGACGGAGAATCTGGAAAGTCGGACAAGATTTATTGCCGATTCCTCTTTCTCCTTATCGGGTAACAGAAAAGTGGATTATCAGGCGAGTAAACCGATTGTCGCTCGTTCCCGGCCGATACAGACCCCACCAACGTCTGCTTCATTTAAAAAGGCTACGAAAGAAGACGTGGAGAAACACCAAATCCCCAGTGGATATTCGCTCGAGCACTGGGATCCTAATGAAGAGCCTATTTTACTACTCGGCGGCGTGTTTGGGGGCAACTCTCTAGGCAAGTGGATCTACGACTGGGCTGTTTTCCACCACGGGTTGGGAAACCCCATTTCGGAAATGGCACACGATCTCTGGCAACTTTTGATACAACTTATCAGCAAGAAGGATTTCTCGGAAGCCTGCGTATCAAGCATCTCAGGAGACGAGAGAAAACTCATCCATGAGTTCATTGAGGGAGGGGAACGATTGTTGGATAAACTTAACTCCCTACTAAAGCGGTACGAGGGACTCATGCCCAAGCCCAGTAAGAGGAAAGGTACTACGCAACTAGGCGAGAAAGAGTGTGTGGAATTTGTTGGGATTCTTTTCGGCCGCGAACGCCAGCTTCGTAGCACGAAGCGCTTCATGCGCTCTATGCGATTGTGGAATTTACGGTTCGACGCAAACTGCCACGAGATTCTCATAGGGTCCACAATTACGAAGGTTGAAGGTCCCGGAGCTACACGGCACCACAGTTCAGAAGCACAAGCTCCTGTGGAATCTAAAGACAACGATTCTCTCGTCTCGTCTCTAGAATCGCATCTTACGCAGGCTTGTTGGACTGAGGCTACCGAGAACGAGTACACTGATGACAGTTCGTCAGATTTCATGTACAGTTCTTGTACTTCGGATGACGAAACTTTGGATAATGAGCATCCCCTCCGTCAAGAAGTTCCAAGCCTCGTCCAGATTGCACTCGAAGAATATGGAAAGCAGCGAGGCAACTCAGAACAACGAAGCTCAACTGGTTCCAACGACTCAAAAGAATTGAGCGGCTCGAGCAAGTCTTTTTCTAAATCGCAGAAGAGGAACAGGACAAGACAACAAGGTGGAGGGATGAGCTCAGGAGAGGAAGATAGCAGGAACACCAAGTACGGAAAGAAGTCCAGATTGAGCGATGTGGACGACAAATCGCTGCTGCTCGCCTGCCCTTACTACAAGAAGGACAAGTTCAAACACAAGCTTTGTCTTCGAGACTTCAAGTTGAAAAGGATCAAGGATGTCAAGCAACATTTGTGTCGTAAACATATTCAGCCACATTTCTGTCCCTTGTGTGGTCAGGAGTTCGAAACTAAGGGAGATGAGCGGGATCACATCAGGACGCAGTCGTGCTCCAGACAAGAATACCAAGAGCCAGAGGGTATCACTGACGACCACAAAGACAAGTTTTCCTCGCGTGTGGACAGAATGATGACCTTGGAACACCAGTGGTTTACTGTGTGGGACATTGTGTTCCCCGACACTCCTCGCCCTTCATCAGCATACGTACAAGACCCAGAAATCGAGACCCTATTGGGTTTTAGCGACTTCATTGAGGAGCATGGACGAGAAATGGTCGCCAATCATGTGCGGTCCCGGGAAATACCCTATGACAGGCACAATGAGGAGAGGGATATTGCGGCGCTCTTTACAACCGTTGTGAGGGACGCAACGGCTATGCTCGTCACCAGGCTACAGGGAAGCCCCAGCGACGCAAGCCTGCTGGATGAGACCCCGCCATCGCTGATCACGGACGACGTTCTCACCCACGCGGCAGAGTCAAATAGCTGTGAGCGAGGTCTCGAACAGACTCCGCAGGGGCTGGCGCAATATCACGGCCTCGAATTCCCGGTACCGAACACTACCCTGCTGCAAAAGGATCCACCCACCGATGAGGTTGGTTTCCCAGACGAGTCTACCTCAGACTTCACTTGGGGCGTACCACCCAGCGAGGACTTGACAACAGCTGACTGGGTTTGGACGTTCTCAACATGGCAAATGAATCCACAACAGACCCAACCAGGGCTCCTAATAGTGCAGACCATTTACACTATTAGTGCAGACTACAATCCAAGATCAATAATCAATCCACGACGGGCGTTCGTGGATTGACGACTAGGATGATGCGCCCCTTGAAACGAGCCTTGTTGATCCGGATCGCACCAGTGAATTGATCAGAAATATCCAAAACAAAGTGGTTGGCACAGCAACAATCATGGGTACCCTGGTTTTGTAACACCATGCCAACAACCTAGCGTACTTAGCGTCCACACCGGGCGTCCGTATTCCCTGCCCTGATCTGCAGTCTGCACTAATAGTCTAAATGGTCTGCACTATTAGGAGCCCTGAGACAGATGGATTTTGTGAAACGCGTTACGGAGGTCGTGACTGGACTCGGTCCCAGTGTGGCTAACAAACCGACCGTCTGACAGACCGTCTGACAGACCACCTTCAGACCGCAGACCGACCGACCGGCAATTCTCGTCAGACCGACCGACCAGAGCTGCCGGTCGGATTGGGTGGTCTGAGTCGGTCTGGGTCGGGGTTTCCAGGGCCGCCATTGGTCGGCTCCGCCTTAAGGTACCCGTGCAACGCCCCACTTATTTTAGCACTCGCGAACTCGCTCCACAAAATAAGTGGGGCGTGGCGCAGGTAGCCATTGAGTGCACCCCTTTGGCTAGCCCGGGTAGAATCTCGGGATCAGATAATCAGACCTAGACCGACCGGGCTGCTAACCCAGACCGACCTAGACCGACCGACCGGGAGCCTTGACCAACCCAGACCGACCGACCGAAGGGGCCGGTCTAGGTCGGTCGGTTTGTTAGCCACACTGCTCGGTCCTGGGGATGCATCTTCTGCTGGGAGCCGACTTGGGTCCAGGTATAAATTTTATGACTCTGAAATATGACACCAGTAACTAACTTAGTCTAATTTCCCTCTCTAGGAAGCACGTGTGAAGATATCCTATGGTCGACCAGAATGGTACTGCACTGGACAGCCTTGCAGTCTTCCGCAGCATCCAGGCCACATCTGTTGAACTCGGAAACAGTTCCGCAGCTGCAAGCCTAATATCAATATGTGGGATGATCTTCTATGTGCTTCAATACCTGCGGTTCAAAAACGCGCAAGTTCTGGCCACCGTCCCATGCATCGTATGGATATCCGCCGACTGATAAGACTGTTGCATCGGAAGGTGAAGCTGAATCGCAAGAATGGGGGACTCTTACGATTTCTTCAGCTGTGTACTTCCAGAAAATATCGTATGGAGTGGTACCTAGTACACAGTGCTTTTTATTAATGCCAGTGGCACTCTCTTTACGTATGTCCTCTCCACATGGCAGCCTCAAATCACTCTCACCGGTGGCATCTCCAGTGTAAATATGGAGTAATCACTCAGCGTATCTGCAGGGGTCTAGAGCGACACCCTTGATCAAAGCTTGTTTGAATGTTGCTGCCATCGGCGCCAGGAGCAGGCCGTGGCGTGATCTCAGGGTACAGCAACAATGAAAACAATGCCAGAGTGCAAAACTAAATTGCAGAGGGAAATCTACTATAGCAGTTCGCTTGGGTGATGTTCGAGCAGTCAATTCCAATGCATCGCGAGTGATAAATGCGCCGTTAGGGAGCGGCAGTTACCGCGAATCTTGAATCGTTCGACCCAGAATCTGAAATCACGAAGCAATCCTTGCATGCATGTTCCTGCAGTTGCATGATGACAACACTTGGAAATCCACAATTATCTGGATTACGGTGCCAAGAGTGGAACGTGTAGCGGACTTAACGGAAACATGATGATCGGGCCGAATCTCGGTGAATTGTCGTTGAACGACACTTCTCGCTTAACATGAGATGATAGAGATAACGGAAAAGGAGAGATGCAAATCGCGGGAGGGACAAGAAAAATGTCAAAAGATGAACTGTCCAATATGGGCTCATGTCCAGGTCGTTTGGGTTCATCTGGTTCTCGATGTCCATGGCGCTTGGGCTCGTGAAACGAATCGTGCGACGTAATGTGCTGTTGAGCCTCATCTTGAGCCTCAATCTCTGAACCGCTAGTCCAGGTCTAAAACAAGAAATTTGGGTCCATCGGCCCGCTTGAGATCCACCGGACCCTATCTTCAAGTGCCGCTTATCACGTACCCGCCTGAGACAACCGGGTCCCGGGTGGCGAACACAAAGATTTCGCATCCATCCTTTTATCTCACGGAATCAAGACTCGATAGCTGGATGGCCATAAATACTAAAGCCGCGACCAAAGGGTCCTGGAGAATTGAGAAATTTGAAAAGGGATTCTGCCATCATCGAGCAGACAACAGAATCCGCGCAAGCGCGCCGCGATGACGTAGTTTTGAGGTGAGGCGACGAGTTTGAATAGGCCCGACCGAGAGCCCTCACTGACGTCAAGCTCCGCCTTCGGCTTCCCCGGCAGCACGAATCTCTCGGGCAATTTGCTCTTGTCCCTGAAAGATTTTGAAATCCCATGACGGACCCATATATGCCTCCTCCGACACATCGCCGTGGACTCACTAAGCATCGGATGGTGCGTCCACGCGGTGGGGGTCATGAGGCCCATTAAACCGCAGCGTAAAAGGATCTCTTTCGCCCTCTCTTGCTACATGCGAAAATATCAACAGTCGATGACTCACTTTACTCATTTGTGATTAACAAAACAACATCAACCTTATCTTTACTATCTTGATCATGGCGATAATGAGCCATCTCAAAGGGCGTGGGCGTGTGGAGCCCTCGAGCAACGGCCCTTCCAATGGAGTTGCTCATCAAAAAGTCACTGCCATTGCTTGCTTCCTGGGTCTGGTTGCCAGCATTGGTGGATTCATGTTTGGATATGTCAGGTAGGTGAAGTCAGGCCCGTAATGCCCAAGGCGTGTCTAATCCAATCCACAGTGGTCAAATATCCGGCTTCTTTCTCATGGACAACTATGCCGAACGCTTTGGCGAGGAGCAGTCTGATGGGTCCTTCACATTCAGTGCTGCCCGGCAGGGTACCATTGTTGGCCTTCTCTGTGTTGGTTGTCTGATCGGGTCCCTCATCTCGGGCTCAATGTCCGATATCATTGGTCGCCGTCTCACTATCTCATCCTCCGCTCTCTTCACCATGATTGGTACAATCATTGAGATTTCATCTGAGAAGCAATGGGCTCAGTTCGCTGTCGGCCGTCTAGTAACAGGACTTTGAATCGGATCTTTGTCAGTCGTCGTCCCAATGTACCAGTCCGAGAGCAGCCCGGCCATCATTCGCGGTATTCTGGTATCAACATCAGGGCTCCTAATAGTGCAGACCATTTAGACTATTAGTGCAGACTGCAGATCAGGGCAGGGAATACGGACGCCCGGTGTGGACGCTAAGTACGCTAGGTTGTTGGCATGGTGTTACAAAACCAGGGTACCCATGATTGTTGCTGTGCCAACCACTTTGTTTTGGATATTTCTGATCAATTCACTGGTGCGATCCGGATCAACAAGGCTCGTTTCAAGGGGCGCATCATCCTAGTCGTCAATCCACGAACGCCCGTCGTGGATTGATTATTGATCTTGGATTGTAGTCTGCACTAATAGTGTAAATGGTCTGCACTATTAGGAGCCCTGATCAACATACCAGCTCTTCATCACTCTAGGAATCTGGACCGCCGATATGGTGAACTGGGGAACGGAGTTGAACGAGAGCAGCGCATCTTGGAGAGTTCCCAACGGCCTTTCCTTCCTCTGGGCCCTGATTCTTGGCGGAGGTATCCTCCTGCTTCCGGAATCTCCTCGCTATGCGTACCGAAAGGGCCGCGTTGAGGAAGCTCGAAACACCATCGCCAGACTCGCCGGTGTTGCGCCTGACGACTACAGCGTGTCGAAGCAGATTGATGAGATTCGCGCCAAGCAGGAAGAGGAGAAGGCTGGCACCGATACGAAGTGGTATGAGATCTTCACTGGGCCCCGAATGCTTTACCGCACGCTTCTCGGCATGACCCTGCAGGTTGGCCAACAACTGACGGGAGCGAATTTTTTCTTCTACTTGGAACTACGGCCTTCTCTTCCACTGGTATCAGCAACAGCTATGTCACTCAGATCATTCTCGGATCTGTGAACGTCGCCTGTACCTTTGGTGGGCTGTGGGTCGTGGCAAAATGCGGCCGTCGCAAGGCTTTGATGATTGGCGGACTCTGGATGATGATGTGCTTCTTGTAAGTTTCCTGCTAATCCATGTGCAACCTTTGCTAATTCTAACCCGTCAGTGTCTACGCCTTCGTTGGACACTTCTCGCTCGATCATGAGAACCCGATGAACACCCCCAGGGCCGGGACTGTTCTTATCGCCTTCTCCTGCTTGTTTATCGCTGCGTTCGCTTACCGCGGTCGATGCATGGCTCTCGCCACTGCTGCCAACTGGTTCTGGAACTCGTAAGTCCCCGATCATTATCTTTTCCACTTGATGATCCTCTTACTAACTTGAACTAGTATGATTTCTTTCTTGTGAGTATCTAATCGAAATAATGTCGAAGCGTTGATATACTAACACCACACCTAGCACTCGATTCATCACTGACGCGATTGACTACCTGTACGGTCTTGTTTTTGCAGGATGCTGTGCAGCTCTTGTGCTCATCGTCTTCTTCTTCCTCATAGCCTCAAAGGACCGTACCCTTGAGGAGATTGACACGATGTACGTTGAGCATGTCAACCCAATCAAGAGCAGTTCCTGTGTTGCCAACAACCGGGAGAAGGATGGCTCGGATCACACGGGCAACAACACCGAAAGTGAGGCGGTAGAGCACAGTAGTTAGAGGTCTCGTTTTTCAGATTGCACTAAATTATCGCAATACAACCCTTAAAGGGAATTATCGCTCAATCAACCCACCATCTCTCTGTTCAGCTTGGCTTTTCTGGTAAGTCGGTGCCCAATAAGGCAGGTGGGCGAAAGCGGTGGCATGCAATACAGCACTCGGTTAAGATCAACGTTGTGGCGGAGCTCTTACCGACGCGTGACCGTGGTGCTTCGCCTCAAGTAAATCAACCACAGCAGACAAGGCCAACTGGTGACGCGCGCTTTCGCACGCTGACGCCCTGAAACGCCACGAAAGTTTGCTGAGCCATCCATCTAGGAGAAGAGGTCAAATCGTCAGCATCTACCCAGAAGTAAAGCAGCAAACGAATTAGCCAGAATCCATTTGCGGCTTTCCTGCTAAGATCAACGATGCGATCTCTATTCGGGATGTTATCCTTCGATCATGGCCACCTGCCCAGTTCGCTTTGAATTCCACTGTGAAAGAGCTCCCGAGAAGCTCAAATACATTCACAATATTCCCCGCAGTCTTGTCACCGCCGATGCCCAAGCCGCACAAGAAGACGCTGGGTATATCAATCGCTTTGTGGATGCACTACGGCCCATCATGAAAGAGCATGAAGCCGCCTGTCGCGCAGCCTCAAATACTCTATGCGGAAATTGTGGCTCGCCCACTGTGACAGTCTTGCAGACCCCCATGTCTAGGCTTCACATTGTGGAGGATCCTTTGCTATATGGGCTAATCCGGTATGCGGGAAAGGCGAACTCGGGACAGGAAGTCTCGGAACGAGGCGTCTTCTGATTGCCTCATCTGCTCATTCAAAATAATGACTTGTTTGAACTGATGCCAGATCAGTCGGCCATTCTCGTCTTCATTGTTGCCGGTTCTAGGCTCCTTCCATAGTGCTGGGCCTCGAACAGGCGGGAACTGGAAGAAATCACCCATGAGGATGACGATGGGCAGTCCGCCGAAGAAGTCAGTCGACGTCCTGTTGAGGGATCGGGCAATTTTGCAGTGGTTATCAACCATGCTGAGCGTGCTGAGATCCACCATGCTCACCTCATCGATGATCATGATTGTCTTGCGGGACCAGAGCCTTCTCACACGAGGCTTCATGGCCGAGCCTCGCGAGCGATTAATGGAGATCCCCAGAGACGTGTGGTATGTGTTCCCGCCGATGTTATCGGCTGCGGCACCGGTCGGAGCCATGAGAATGACCTCGTCTTTGCGTCTGATGAGATCCATCCCAGCCACGATCCCCTTGATAACCTGGCTCTTACCTACGCCGCCTTCGCCTCCAACGTAAAGGAGGGTCTCCTGCCGCTTCGATGTATCATAGGCACGACCCCCCCAGGCCAGCGCTTCGGATAGCACCCTCTCCACGACTAGCCGCTGTTTTCTATTAAGGGGAACATGCTCACTGAGTATTGAAGCGAGAGACGCGCCGGTGGGTTTCTCGCCAACTTGACACTGGCGATCTGCGACGGCGGGAATCATGTCTAATCCAGTTAACACGGGATGTATGATGCCATTCCCGATTTCTAAATGAAAATCGTCAAACTCAAAGCCAGAGCCCGTTGCGGCCGGAGTCGTAATCCCTTTCTCGCCAAACTTGGCGAGGCTTTTCAGGCGACTCTCCCAACCATGGAGCGTGGATGATGGGAGGAACCTGAGGCTGGAGCTCTCATATGCCGGGGTGTTGGAGATAATGAGTGGCCGAAGGTTCTGCATCAACAGACCCTGAGTACGGGTTGTTCCGCGGGCCAATGCAGGGTTACGTCGTCCAGTCATGAGGGCCTCTCGATCCCACGCTTTAGTAATAGAGTGGTAGGCTGCGATCAACGTCTCCGCGCTAAAACTCTCATCTCGAGCGTGGAAGAATTCTTCGTCTTCTTCGATATCGGAGCCAAAGTATACAGGCTCCACGTCGTCAGCATCGGGGTCAAGTGAGTGGCCGGCATGGTCTGCTGACTTCCACAACTTTGAATCAATTTCGCAGTCTTCCTTAGACTTCCGCAGCAGCTCAATGTTTGCCGCAAAGCATCGATTATGCGGCGGGAGCGTAGGCTCTACCGCCGCCCATACTTGAGCGCAGGCATCCCGCGTCGTCGCGTACCGTCGGAAGAGAGATAACAAGTTGTCCCAGGGAACAAATAGCCCCAACAATATCTCTGCCATGTCGTTCACGATCGCCGTCGTTTTCGGGTGGCCCCCGGGGATGGAGTCTTCTGCGGCTTGGAACTCGGTCAGCTGTCCGTTGAAGGCGACGGTGGCGACCTGGGATGGCGTGCGAGCTAGACGCTGAACATGTGTGGCACACCTGGGGTGGTTTGGGTCATACCCCACGTCCTCTGCGATAGCCTCACGTATATACATGGTCCGTACGAGCATACAGTATTCAAACAACGCCAAAGGAGCCGGGTGCGGGCCACGCCATTTATAGTTGTCAAATATGCTGACGGGAGCCGTGTCCCCGGCTTCATATGCGCAGGGTTCTTCCCCCATAGGGCCAGAGGAGTTAGCGCCTGCAGGGCTGCTTAGCTGAACGATTGCACGCACATACCGCCTCAACCACCAGAGGTTTACCCGGACGAAGTTGTAGCTGATCGTGTAATAGGTCGGTAGCCGGAGCAGAGTGCTGGCGACCTGGACCCCGCTAATCTCGCGGTCATGGGAGAGGGTGTTGAAGCAGCGCAACGCAAAATTGTCCATACCCTTCTCTCGAAGTCGTACGTCTGTGGCTGTTGGCGGCTCAGCAACCTTCGCCCTTTCAATGGACTGTTTCAACAAAGCCGCCTTCGCTACCATCTGCCACGGTGAGACATCGTCTTTCGTGGCGTAGTTGGTGATGTAGTAGATCAGAGACAGAGATTTAGAGACGGTTGGAATCCAAGAGATATCTTGATTCGAACGGACACAGCTGGCTATGGCAGGGTTCCACGGGTTAATCCAGCCATGATTTCGAGCGAGGTGAATCAGTCCGAACTCATCTACTCTGGAGGTAGGAACCAGATCTCGGGGCATACCGAACCGACAAGTGTTTTTTCCCGAGCCAGTTTGTCGATATTTAAAGCAGGTCGAGAGGTGATTTCTTGAATGGAGCTGCTTTCGGCCTGCTACGGAGTTGCTGTCATGGGACAATTTGAGGTGGTAATCGTCATCCGATTCCAGCTCCTTGGTCGAAGGCGCCACGCTCGGAAGGCTCACCTCAGGGTCCAGTGGAATACTCTCATCTACTCCTTGCATGATGGTCGACTCTAGGTAACGGATCATGCGAGCAGAAAACTGGTCATCCTTGAGCAGCCGATCTCGCAAAGTAGTGAAACCAAGGTTACCTCTAACCCATGCTAGTGCGTGCAGGTGCAGCATTCCTCGGCCATTGGTCTCAACAACGGCAAAATGGTTCGAAAGATCGCCAAGGATCCCAATTCGGCCGGTATTCGTGGCGAGAAGGCCGTCTAGGACGGCTTTGCAGACATGATGGAAGAACTGTGCAACAGCAACCGGGTTCGAGGTCGCTGTGGCCTCACGGATTGCGGCATTCGCAGCCGCAAAGGTGTCCCCAGAATACTCTACACCAGCCAAAATTAGAACCAGAGGATTTCGCAAGTCCGAGGGGTTGATGGTCATCCAAAAGGCAGGCATCCCATACCGTACGATTAAACCTCGAATCTCGGCGCGCATCCTTAGCTTCTGGGCGAAAGACCCAGGGACTTGCATCCCGATAGTCTCGATATTCCGCAGAAGTCGCCGAATGATGGGATCCTGGATTTGCTGGCTGGTTGCAACAGTCTTCGCTGCGTCTTGCAACTGGTCAACCGTTAGAGAGGCAATGTCATCCGCCGCTGACCTCCAGTGCTGACGTTTGATGAGGAGAGCATTTCCTAGTGACGACTTCCGGAGCTGTAACACGTCATATAATAGGTACATGAAGGTCCTGTGCCGTGCGAACCTGTAACTATTAGAAGGGACAAGCGATGCTTCTTAGAGATAACATACCTTCTGCTGTGGTGACTCAAAGCCCACTCAGCAAAAGCCTCGAGCGATACCGGGACCGCACGCTGGTCTAGATGGCCCCCAGTACCCGTCGGAAACAGAGTTGGGAACGCAGCGGTAAAGTAGTGGGAATCAGTCCAGTGGTTTACCAGCGTTGTCTGCCCACGGACTGTGTAAGAGATTGCCGGCACCCTTTGGTGATTGAGTGGGGGCATATCTACTATCTCGTTTCTAGCCGAGTTGCGGTCTCTCGGTGCCGCTGGTCGGTTTGCGACTATGCTGAACAAGGTGTCCAGTGTGCGTATATTAGGGTCCTGGCGTTCTCCGTTGACGTCCGTGGAGACGGATCCGGTCATCAAAGGACCACCGTCATCGGAGTTATTAAAGCCTTCATCTTGTGCTGCTTGGAGATCATTCTCGTAGTTGCCCGCCTGCAGGTTCACTGTGTATCCCTCACGCTCATGGTGATCGGACTCACCGAGACAAATGATGTTATCCCGCAGCTCTGATGGGATGAAGTCATCGCTCCACTCATCTATCATCGCATGGTTAATGGTTAGGTCGCCGTAAAGACAGTTATGCCGGACGAGGTATTGCAGAGCAGCCAGAACCTTCATCTTCCGAACAAGCAAGAACTGGTTGAGGTCGGCGTCCGCTGGGGGTCGGCCCCCTAACCAGAAAACTCTAATAAGGTTGTGCAATCTCAACTCTGGGCTGGGTAGGATCTGGAGCAGTGGCTCCGGGTCCTGCGGAATGACAATGAAATGGCCTCGCAGTGCGTGGTAGTTGACCGGAGACGAGTGGCCACCGGGCCGCAATTTCAGGATGACTCCGAGAGGATGGCACTTTGCAATGAGGTATTCTTCGGCCAGCGTGAGACCTTCCAGAGGAGACGGGTAGTGCTGGCACAGGGTCACATTGACAAGATTCTTGGCTGAGAACTTGGGGATCGTCTCCCGGCTAAGTGCGGCGTGGTATGATGAGCAAACATCCCAGGTGCTCCCGTGCCGGCCGCAGTTATCGAGAGCACCTTCTAACGGCTGCAGCATAGGATCCCCGTTCTCAGCCCGGTAGATGTCTGTAATGGGGACGAATTTGCCGCAAGAACAACACACACCTCTCTCGGCAGCAGCGGAAATCTGGTCCTCGTATCTGGCCACCGCTGCGCATATCCAAGTTTAATAAGACACCAACAATATCCACAACCGGCAGCAGTATCTCTTAATATTACAAGGGGCTGGTTCTTGTTCTTTTGTTCCTTCCCTTGCAGAAATGATGGCGGAACCTGCAAAGGGCAACGCAAGTTGCTATGGAATCCTTCTCGGCCTTCCCAAACAAACATGGACGTATTTCAACTACGTGTTACCCAAAATTCGCGCCTCGAACATCCCTTAAAGGACTACCGAGACCTCCACACGTAGTTGACTGATCCTCGGACGGCTCCCAACTTTTGGAGAGAGCTTTTCGTTTTTAAAACTTAAAGCTTCGGGTCATTCCTGAGCAAATAATGCAAGCAAGCGTCTGTCGGTGCAGTCCAAAATCCTGAGCTGTCCCCTAACCGCCCGAGTTCTCTCCAGATATCCGAATGAATTCGCAGCAGCATATTTTCCAAGACAAAAGATTGCAAGACGCGGCCGACTTGGCCTGTGTGGAGAGTGGCCAAACTGCCAGGAGTCGGTTGTAATTTGCTTGGCGGTGCTATCCATGGGAGCCATCTGGCCTACGTCCTCCCCAGACATGGGAGTTGCTCGAATCTGCATCTTCTCGATTCGGAGTGGAGGCCACCAACGCTCGATCTAGTTGTTAGGGGCGATCAAACGTCTCTGCCATATGCAGAGGAGACTTAAGCACCAGCTTTAGGAATGGGAGTCAGAGTGCTCGATTCTATAACAAATCCTCCCGTGTCAATTGCATTCACTGGTCTGCCGGCAACCGTTCCCCAGCCAGCCGGCGCAATTTTTGGGGCCAGGAGGGCGAAGCAAAGTACCGTTCAACCTATCCCGATGGTCTCAGTGCCAATATCTGGAACCAAGGCGATGTTATTTCTGTTAGTCCCTCCCCTAGGAAATATACCATGCTCGGCAGGTCGCAAGCATTCCACGGCTATTCTCATTTAAAAGCGCAAGATGTTTTAACCATGTGCCCTCATTGATGCAGAGATGGGGTTCTTAATCCTTCTGGCGTCGGTTTTGGCTCGGCTTAGATATACAACGTTCTCTCCAAGCTCCCCGCTATTGAAGACACTATTTATGTCAGGCAACATCGTCACTTCGACTGCGACGAGATGGTTCTGCTCTTTATCAAGATTTAAAAGATACAGCAGTAACCGTGGCGCGGCAGCTCGTTGCGTCCGTTAAAACAGCGATTCACACCGCTCTAAGCCCTCGCCATGTTCCAAAGTGCATTTTTCAGGTCCAGTCCAGGACATCCCATACACGATCGACGCAAAGAAAATTGGGTTGGCAGTCAAGCAAATCGTTTCAAGTAAACTCACTCAACTCCCTCGGGGTCAGTGGCACACCCAGAAGCTCTAAGGTTGTTTGAGCCGTTCCTCAAACTTAAAGTATCCGAGCCAAGCAATAGTCAAGGTTGAGCAAGCTTTGAGGTTTGGGCCGCCTGCGCTTAGAGGTGGCTACAGCCATCGTGTTGGGTTCACTAGGTAGCTTAGATGTGATATATTCGTCCGACGTCTAAGTTATAGGGAGGGGCTGTCCAATTATGGAGTGAAAGAGGCCAACTTAGAAGTCCAATATTTGCCCTTTCGAAGTCTGGCCTCTTGTGACGTATGCTAAGTAAGGTCCGGAACGAAAACACCCGGCCGGCTGCCACTTCGGAACGTGAACAGTCCGGTGGCGTACTGAACCAATCCCAGTAAAGCACGTCGCATCCATGAGTACAGAGGACGTAAGTTGCGGAGTAGTACTACGTACGTTAACTTATCCCTTCCCCACAATCCCCACGTCTGGGCTCGGCATCGGCTGCTGCAGGCAACCCTTCTTGGGAGGGGGCGACCCCTCGACCCTCGGCAAGGGGGTCGGCAAAGCCGGAATATACATACAAAAGAGGGATAGTAGGATGACAGGGATATCCGGGCACGCCGGGACGCGGCTACCGCCGGAATAGTACCCTGTCCGACCTCATGGATATTCAGCAGATTGATGCCGGGGAACCAAGTTGCAGATGACAATCCTGGCGTCATTTGAGCGTCCCCATGGGGACGGGAGCAACCACTACGTAGGTTAAGTTACGTGCTACGTATGAAGTAGTCGTAGTCTACTATGAACTTACCTACCAGTAAGCGGGGTAGCATTAGAAAGCAAGCCATCTCTTCCATGATTTCTCCTCGATCACAGCGAAGCTGGGCCAAACACTCATCTTCCCGCCACAAGAGACACACGAACCACAACCAATGCCATGTCAAACGTGCAGATGCCCCAGAGTCCACTCTCTGATGATGGCGAAACGAGGGCTACAGTTACATCGCCCACAAACGCCAACGCAAAACGCCGGACAAAATCCAGCCAAGCGGTAGGAGCGGAGATCCCCAATCTAGCCCTGCCGCATTCCAAGATACTGAGGCCATCGCAGTGCGACCGGTGCCGAGCGAAGAAGATCAAATGTGAGTAGGATGAATGCATAGCTGTCCGAAGCTTGGAACTGAGCTATTCCAAAGGCAATGGGGCCCGACCATGCAAAATCTGCCTCGTAAGTCCTCAATCCAAGTCCAAAGATGCGACGCAAATAACGAACACGCGTTTCCTCAACAGAACAAGTCCATTCCTTGTTCTTACGAAACCATGACGCGAAGAACCCGCGGGTCCGCTAAGGAACGGGCAAGGCTGTTGCAGGCGCAGCTAGATCATGCCCAGATGTTGCTGAGATCTGCTGGAGTTCTTGACCAATCTCTTCCAACGCCGACTTCGCAGCTGCAGGAGAACACCCAAACCTGTATCGACGTCCTGCGTGGAGCCGCGAGCCTTCCCTCGGCCCCGCCGGTTCTGCCTCGCTACTCGCACACCTCTCACGATAACAGCGACGACTGCCTTGCCAATGACCGACATCCCACCAAACAATCATCCTATCAAGATGAGGCTGATGCCAGCTCTGCCTCGTGTCTATTCTCGTCGCAACTTTCTCTGGACACGCAGTCGGCTCAGATGAACCCGGTGTTGCGCGATCGCATCACCTCCGATGTGCTGCCAAATGCATCCCCAGATACGAGAAGAGAAGCATTCAGAAGTGTGGGGTGCGCCACAAATTCGTCGCATGAACAAGACCCCCTGGATAGTCTCATTCAATATCCTGGTGGCATTGGCTCTGGTGGTTATGCGCTATGCCACGATAATGGACACATCCCAGAAGCGGATGAGCCAGTAAAGGAACCTCCAGTTTCGTCGCTGAGATATGAAGCTAACTACCCCGTGACAGCATGGCCAGAACGAGCACCACGGTGAGAGTTCTTTTCTTCCTGGATTCCTTGGTTGCACGACTTACGACATGATCGCAGACTAACACCAGGTTGGATTAGGACCTACCTCTTTCCTCTCGATTTGTGTCAACCCTGGGGTCGAATGGATAGCAAACAAAATTGGACATTCCAACTTTGCCAGCAGCGCTAAAACCCTCATGTCGTCGATTGGAGGAAGAGTGAAACTCAACAAGCGTTTGAGTAAAGAGAGAATCGAAGATCCCGATGCCAAAACAGCATGGAGGTACACCCGAGGTTAGTGATAAGAGTTACTTCCCGTTCTGTACCTCCATCAACCAGCTAACTGGGATGCTTGACAAACGGTAGCATATTTTGAAGAGTTTGCCATGTCGACGTCTTATATCATCATCCGACAATCATTTGAAACACAGCTGATAAGACATATCAATAACCCATCCGCCAGCCAAGAAGACAGTGTATGGTTCGCGATACGAAACATTGTTTACGCCACTGGGTGTAGGGCTCTGATGTCTAAACTCATTCTTGGACGGAATCTCAGTCCAAATCGTGGCAGTACTTTGAAAACGCTTTGCATGTTGAAACGGATCTCATCCATGGGGGATATGGCTTGTCAGCAATCCAGGCACTGTTGGCAATGGTTAGTGCGGAGGAATTCCATCAAGATGCTCCCGTAACTAACCTAGAGCCACACCAGTCTATCTTTTCCGAAGGAGGATCCTGCCAGAAACTGGAATACATGCTCGTTGGGTGCGCCTTGCGCTTGGCTCAATCTCAAGCGCTGCACTTGTGTTCCAAGACATCGAGTATTTCTAACGAAGAGGATACAAAACGAAGTTGGTTGTTCTGGTCACTTTACTGTTTCGAAAAACACCTCGCATTGCGCTCCGGGCGCCCGTCAGTACGTTGAATTACATGGTATTCATTATTATGGTAACACAGGCCTTTAATAACATAATTCACGCAGGGTATTAATGACGACGACATCAGCTGCGAGATTCCTTCGCAGGCTCCTGATGGGAACTTGCATAAGCTTGAGTGGTTCCTATATGCCATACGCCTGGCAAAAATATCATCATCCATCATCCAAAACTTCTCTACGGTGAGGGCCCGCCAGCAACCTCTGAGAGACGTGGCCAAGTTTGTAGAGGAACATGATCAAGAGTTACGACGGTGGTACGAAGATGTACCCGAGCTTTATAAGCAAAACCCTTCCGTAAAGACCATAGGGTTGCCCAGTGGCATTCTCGATGAGCATCTCCATTACTTCCGTCTCTCGTACCACGGGTATCTAGCTGTCGTTCACTGCGTCTTTGGTCATCCTTGGAACATTCCAGCCCCAATAGAAGACCAAGATGAAGCAGTTCGTGAGAGAGTAGCAAGTAGCCTCATAGCCCTGGCCGACTCTTCGAGAGATATTATCCTCGCTACAAGATCGATAAAAGTGAGCTCAATGGCGCCAGCTTGGTATGTTGTATGGAGACATCTCTTGCCAATCCTACCTAATCCTCCCTTGTCATTACCCGGCGGGGGGGATTGTTTGCTGACATTTGCTCTTCTCTAGGCTTCTCTTCTGCTACCCCTTGATAGGCATGATGAACATGTTTATTTGCATACTCCATTCGCCAGGATCCGAGCATACGTCAAGAGATCTTAGTTTATTGGAGATGGTGGCTGGCTATTTCGGATACCTAGATTATGCTAGTGACGGGGCAATATCGTTCTCCTTCACATCGAGCCTTAGGACCTGGGCTCGACAGGTAGTTTCGAGTGCAAATGCGCACCAAGAAAGCCTGCTGGCTTCAAACCCACTTCCTGCCTCGGCCCAACAGATGGAATACGGGGGTCTTGATTTCTTCAACGAGGTATTACCCTTTCCGCAAATCTGTATGCTCTTCTAACGCGCGATTTAGATAAGCGATTTCACTATTGACCAAATGGCCCTTGAAGACTGGCCGAGTTTCTTGCCACATTTACCATAGACTGGTTCATAATGCTTATAGAAACTGGAACCATCAATTTTCTGATCTAGTAAGAGTATTGAGTTTCACTTGACTTCTCTAACAGTCACCTCAATGATCACTCCTATGGGTTTGCTATGGATCCTGAAGGTGTTACTTTCTTCCCAGACACGATTTACTTGACTGATAGCTCTATTTTCTTCCCGTTAACTATATATGGATTTCATCAACCTGGAAAATGAACTTTGGTGTGTGGCGTGTGCTCAGAGCAGAGTGGATAGCTGTTTTCGTGGGTGCGATGATATTTGGCCTCAGAGTAGCTAAATTTCCCCTCATCTAGACAAATAGCAGGGCAGTTACGTCTCGGTCGCCGGGGTGGCGTTGTCTAACACAAATTCAAGTTGGATCCTCCCTCTCCACACGCATATATAGCCACGTCTGGCCCTGGTTTGTGTTGGAATATGTGTACTGCGAAGTTTATGCGGACGGAAGGAAAGAATTGAGGTGGAGGATACATCACGGCGTTTTCGGATTGCAATTGTCAATAGTTGGTATCAAACAAGATGGATTGGTTGGAACAGCTTAGTTTGTGATAGAATGCCTTGCCTTGCTATCTATGTGGGTGGGAGACTAGCTATTTATCTGGGCTGTGACGACTTCCTTGAGGTGCCTGAAACGCCGGTCCTGAGACCGGATTCCTAGGGATCTGAGCCCCTGAGACCGGATTCTTAGAGACCTGGGTCTTTAATGCCGGCAGGCTAGGAATCCGGGACTAGGGAGACTACTCTACTACCCGTTGGCATTGTTGGGACGAGGTTGGTAGGCGGCCCAGCCCCACAATGCCAACGGGTAATAGCTGTCTACGCATATTGCTCAGACACCATGGCATCGAATCGACGACTTCATTCCTTCAATCCACCAACTCCACGGACTTGGCCCAAAGTTCAGCCTCCTTCTTCTCATCATAGGCAAAAGAAGCATGACCTGGTGCCCACTCGCCAGATGCAGGATACCACTCCTTGGAGATCTGACAATCCTCGAGATATTTGCCACCCTTTCCTTCCAAGGCCTTCGCCACAGCGCCCCACACCGAGATAGCAGCACCCCGCTGGGGGGTCTTAAAGATCTTACCGAGAGCGGGGTCTGACTGCGACGCGGCAATATCCTCTGCCGATAAGTGCTGGTATAGACCAGTACCTGTAGGGCCAGGTTGGACGCTGAAGGCATGGAGCCCAAGTGCACCATAGCGGCGTTCAATCTCATTGGCGGTCCAGACGTTGGCGAGTTTGCTCTAGCTATATGCGACCCAGGGGTGACAAGCATTATCGAGGTTGATGTTATCAAAGTTGAGTCCTCCTGTGCGATGCGCAATAGAAGACAAGAAGATAACGCGAGAGTTAAATTCCGGTGTCTTGGATTTCAAAAGGGCAGAGTTGAGAAGATTGAATAACAGGAAGTGGGCGAGGTGGTTGATGCCTAGCTGAGTCTCGAAGCCATCAGCGGTGCGGCCTTCTGGCGTCATCATAACACCGGCGTCAGGCTGGCGATCCATTCCACGTCCACCGTCCACACATCCATGCCGTGGAAATGGATGGTCCGTGCATCCATTTCCATCCAGTCCATGGAGTAGCGAGCGCCTCCATGGAGCTGGCCGTTACATAATCCATCCATCCACGCCGGCGCCGCCTAGGCTCACGCACGCACCCCGTTGAGAGCCCACGAAGGGATGTGATACGATTGCTAGAGTGGCGATTCGAAACACTTCTCGAAATCTCATTATCTTCTTTATTACTTTTGAAATACCCGGTAGCCGCTTGGCGGAGATTCAGGCCTTTGGTGGATGTCTGAAGTTGCGAACCCCGCTTCAGACGTCATTGTCGTCATGGAAGGCGAGCCGGATGTTCCGGGCGGGGGATATCATCGTCCCCTGCGTAAAAGGACCAGAACGACAAGGGCATTGGAGTCCGAGCAGCAAAAAGGCGATATGGAATGGCAGGAGGAGGAGAGCAGTGAGGGAGCTCTGAGTCATACGCGAACTAAGAAAAGAACCACGCCTAAGGCAGCTGGCAGCATGACCGAGGCGATCCAGGGTTTGAAACGACTCCTGGAACAGGATTTCAATCAAAGAATGGAAGCAATGAAGGCAGAGTTTCAGCTCGAGTTTACAAAACTTAGCGACCGCATGGCTGAGGAAGTCACTAGGACCACGGCCCAGATGGCGCAAGAATTGTCACAGGCTCGAGAGCAGCTCACCCTGGTTTGCAGCGAGTTGGAGCAGACCCGGCTACAGCTGGACACCTTGACCAATGCTCATGCAGCAAGATCGCCTAGCCAGACATATGCAGATGCTGCCAGAATGACGCCTGCTAGTATCACCACTCAAACTCCATCCACGGTTCGATCAGCAACCCCGGAACCGGTGTTCTGCACAGTAGACACATCTAGGGTGCCCGAGGATCATATCGGAGATGCTACACCAGCAGTGCTTCGCAGGACCATTGAACAGGAAATGCGAACATCTAGCGACCAACCTAGTTGGCGATGTGTTGCAGTGACCAGAGATGGACGAAATACCAACCGCCTGAGGGTCATCGGTAGGAACGAGGAAGAACTGAAGAAGATCAAGACCATTATTGAGGTCAAGAAGGCTCCAGGTGCGAGAGTCCTTCGTGACCAACTGTATCCAGTCAAAGTTGACAATATCAACCGTACCGCCGTTCTGGACCAGGAAGGCAAGGTCCTTCCTGGAGCAATGGAAGCCTTGGGCCAAGAGAATGAAGTCCAGATTGCCAAGATGGCCTGGTTGAGTCGCAAGGATAACGCAAAGGCATATGGATCCATGGTGGTATACCTCACCAAAAACAGCGATGCCAGGAGACTCTTACAGGAACGCTACTTCCTTGCAGCCGGTGAATCGGCTTATACCAGCATGTTCGAGCGGAGAACCGGACCGATACAATGCTACAACTGCCAGGAGCTTGGCCACAAGGCCTTCTCGTGCAGCAAGAATCGGGTATGTGCGAGGTGCGCTGCCGAAGGCCACCATCATCGTGAGTGCCAGACGCAGGTACCCAAGTGCGTACCCTGTGGTGGACCGCACGAGTCGTTCAGTCGAAGCTGCCCGAAACTCTACCCTACTCGGCATGAGTAGGATATTCCAGGTAATTCAACTTAATGTAAGAAAACAGGACACGGTACACGAGAGCCTAATGAACGATACGCGACTCCAAGATTTTGCAGTTGTGGCGGTCCAAGAACCACAGGCATGGAAAAGTGACGGCAAACTATTAACAGTCCCTATGGGGCATCCCAGATGGATTAAAATGGTCCCTACGATTTGGAGAGATGGCAGATGGCCGATCCGGAGCATGTTGTGGGTGAATAGGGACTTGGAGGCCAACCAAGTACCAATACAGTCCCCGGACTTGACAGCAGCAGCCATACGACTCCCGGACCGAATAATGTTAGTTGTGTCAGTGTATGTGCCGGGACGCAAGCCCCAGGCTCTTCGAAATACATGCCATACCCTGCACCGGGTGATCCTCGACCTCAGGAGCAGGACAGGGATGGCGGTGGACGTCATACTGGCCGGAGATTTTAATCAACACGACCGGCTTTGGGGAGGAGACGATGTGGCCTTAGCAAGGCAAGGCGAGGCCGAACCGATCATCGACCTCATGAACGAACACGGTCTTTGCAGCCTGCTCCCGAGAGGCACAAAGACATGGCAAGGCCCCGACAAGGAAAGCACAATCGACCTGATGCTGGCGACGGCGGAGGTGGCAGACGGAATGGTGACGTGCTCCATACACCCGACAGAACACGGATCGGACCACCGGGCGATCCAAACGACGTTCGATCTCGCGATGCCTGATCGGATTGTCACGGAAAGACTGTTGTTCAAGAATGCACCATGGACAGCAATCAGAACCAAGGTGGAGGACAATCTCCAAGAGCTCCCCTGGACTGTCGGCGTGCAGGAACAGACAGACCAGTTAATGAGGGTCATCCTCGAAGCGATCCACGAGCTGACGCCCCGTGCACAACCAGTACCGTACGCGAAGTGTTGGTGGACGAAGGATTTGACAAGACTTCGGCGGGTGTACACGTTATGGCGGAATCAGGCTAGGGCACAGCGGCGAGCAGGCCAGGTGAGGCCCGACCTGGAAGGACGGGCCAAGGAAGCATCCAAGGAGTACCATGATGCCATTCGGAAACAGAAGAAACTGCACTGGGACGAATTCCTGGCAGAAGATGTCAACATATGGAAGGCGGCTACGTACTTGAAACCCGGAATATGCGCTATGGACGACAGAGTGCCCCCTTTGAAGAGACAAGACGGCTCCACCACGGTAGATAGGGTGGAGCAGGCAGAGGAGCTGCTCAGCACGTTCTTCCCGCCGTTGCCGGCCAGGATTGAAGATGAAGGCGACCGACCGCAACGGACGGAAGTGCACATGCCAGACCTCACCATGGAGGAAGTTGAACAAAAAGTGCTAGCAGCGAAACCTTGGAAAGCGCCTGGAGAGGATGGTCTGCCAGCAATGGTGTGGAAACAGCTTTGGCCAGTGGTTAGATACCGAGTCTTGCACCTCTTCGACACATCCCTCAAGGATGGTGCGGTACCCCACCAGTGGAGGAGTGCGAAGATCATCCCGCTAAAGAAAGCAGACAAGGGAGACTACACAGTGGCCAAAGCATGGAGACCGATATCGCTGCTGTCGACACTGGGCAAGATACTCGAGGCAGTCGTTGCAGAGCGGATATCCTATGTAGTGGAAAGCTATGGATTGCTGCCCGCAAACCACTTCGGGGCAAGGAAGCGAAGGTCAGCCGAACAAGCACTGGTTCTGCTGCAGGAGCAGATCTATAAGGCATGGAGGGCCGGCAGGGTGCTCAGTCTGATCAGTTTCGACGTCAAAGGCGCTTACAACGGAGTGTTCAAAGAACGACTCCTGGAGAGGCTGAAGGCGAGAGGCATACCTGATGGACTGGTGAGATGGATTGACGCCTTCTGCTCTGGACGAATGGCCACCGTGGTGGTAAATGGACACACGTCGCAGCTACGGGAGCTGCCACAGGCAGGTCTCCCGCAAGGATCACCGCTGTCGCCGGTGTTGTTCCTGTTCTTCAATGCAGATTTGGTGCAGAGAAGAATCAACGCAAAAGGTGGTTCGATGGCATTCGTGGACGACTACTCAGCCTGGGTGGTGGGATCAACAGCGGAGGAGAATCGAGCCGGCATCCAATCAATTATAGACGAAGCACTGGGCTGGGAAAGACGGAGCGGTGCGACGTTCAACGGAGACAAAACGGCCATCGTGCATTTCACTCGAAACGCCGCGCGTACCAGCGACAAACCGTTCATGATCAAAGGAAAAGTAGTCAAGCCCAAGGCGAGCGCCAAGATCCTGGGAGTGGTCGTGGACGCGAAACTGCGGTACAAGGAACACATAGCTAGAGCCGCTGCAAAGGGGCTCTCGGCTGCTATGTGTCTGAGAAGACTGAAGATGCTGTCACCGCGGACGGCGAGACAACTGTTCGTAGCAACAGTAGCTCCCACCATGGACTATGCGTCCAGCGTGTGGGCGCACTCATGTGGCATTAGAGAAGCTGCTTGGCTGGACAAGGCACAGATGATCGGAGCACAGGCGATCACGGGAGCTTTCCGGACCGTCGCAACGGCGGTGGCAGAGGCCGAAGCTAGCATCCAACCGGTGCAAGAACGGCATGCGCAAGCAGCAACAAGGTTCTGGATCAACCTCCGGACCCTTCCCAGGACACACCCGTTGGCGACACTGAAGGTGATGAAAGTGTGTCGCCGATTCGTGTCGCCGATGCAGAGGATTGCTCAAGTACAAGGGGAAACAGCCACTGAACGAATAGAGATCATTCGGGAGTACGCGTTACCGCCATGGAGAGACCGTATCCCGGTGTCGTGCGACCGTGACCGGGAGAGAGCGGTGGAAGAAGCAAAGAGGGTGGATGGCATAGTCATTGCCACCTGCTCCTCGCAGAGAGAGGGCATGGTAGGCATGGGAGGTGTCGTACGAGATACGGCCCTCAACAATGCCGACGAACTAGTGGCCAGCTACTCCATCACTCTTGGGTCGACGGAGGAGCTGAACCTATACATAGCCGAGCTGGGAGCTATAGAGATGGCGCTGAGATGCATGCCACTCGGACTGCGTCGACGGACTATAACCGTCGTGACGAGCAACCGTTCCGCACTAGAAGCCATACGGCGGCCGCGTCAACAATCCGGCCAACAGGCCATTCGGCAAATCTACGACCATGTCGGGCGCCTTGAAGACGAGGGCAACTCTCTCCAGATGATGTGGGTTCCAGCAGGCGAAGAAGACTTCGCACTAGGACCAAAAGCCAAAGCAGCAGCCCGGCGGGCCACTGAAAGAGACTGCAGACCAGATATACCACTGTATCAAGCAAGATCCACGAGGATAAGACTAGTCATAACCAAGCAGCAGCAAACAAGAATGCCGCCAGGAAGAGCTGGGAAATACTCGACGACGATAGACATGGCACTCCCTGGCA